GTATTGGATTCTGGATTCCACGCCACTGTTTTCGGCTTCCAGGTACTGGATCCCGGATTATTTATCAGTGGAACTTGGATTCCCGATTCCATTCGTTAGGGAGATTCCCGGTTCCTTGAGCTATATTCCGGATTTCAAAAATCACGATTCCGAATTGCAAAAGCAAAAATTTACCTTATCCCGAATTCCACAAGCAAAAATTTCCTGGTCCCTTACTTGGAGCTAACTAAGTGTTGTGAGGTCATACCTTTCTTTAAAGCAGATACTTGTGGCGATTCAGCGGCTTTGGGGAAGAGAACGTCGACAACAGGGCCATGTTCCATTTGACGGAAGTAAAATGGCTTTGACAGCTCCTTTTCAAACTGCTCAACGACAGGATAACTGGTCACATGCCCATGAATCACGCGTCTTAAACGAGGTTGTCGCACATCTAACTTGTAAAGGTGTAAATGGCCTTTCTTACTGACTTCGCGAGATATAGCAGTAACCTCAACCTATTTGAAGAATCAACAGTATGAAAACCGCCTTTTAGCGTAACACCTTGAAAAATGTGCAGCAAAATAAGATTTTGGTCAAATTAACTCTTTGTTTTTTTAAATTTTCTTTTCATTGCAGACTGATATCTTCTAAGACCATCATCACAATTTCGGCGGTAAGAAGAATATATAGCATTTCACCGTCCTGCTTTAACAATAATAGACTTCTCTTAACCAGTTTCTATTTGTTATATTGATGAGATTAATCTAAATGGCATTTTTTTAAATAACAATGGGTTTTAAAAGACCCTTCAACGGGTTTTTTGAAGTTTCCATTTTAAAAGTTTCGATTTTTAAAGACCAGGTAGCGAGTCTTTAACGACTTTGCTGGAAAGAGCGCCTTAAAATTAGGAAACTGACCAAGGTTACAGGTGATACGTTAAAAGCGAGCGAACTTATTGCTTCACAAAGTCGCGAAATTTTACAGACGTTTGTATGTTGGGAGGCACACACTTGCGCCCCCCCACCATACAAATGTTTGTAAAATTCAGCGACTTTGCCAAGCTATATCGTCGAGAGTCTTTAACAAAACACGCTCAAACGTGCCATCTTCACGAATTTTAAGGCGTTCTTTTTAGCCGTGTTGAAGTATTTTCGGGTGGCTGGTCCCAGTCACAAGTTGAGGAAAAAAAAAAAAACACGTGGAAGGGGCCATTTCTCAAAACACAAAATGCGCAAAACTTTCTCAACGTTGAAGTATTGCAGCATTGCAACAGAACTTAAGCATGCATGCCAACTCTCCCGGATTATCTGGGAGTCTCACGGATACGACGCCAATCTTCCGGTCACCCATACGGGTCACCAGATGTCGGATAAAATCCATTTATGCGTTTTTGTGTGCTTTAATTTGGAATTCAGTTTGGTCGTTGATATTCGGAGGGGGTAATAAAAGAGAGAGAGTCTCCAGATTTAAGATTTTCAAAGGCTGGTTAAGAGAGGATAAAGGGGACAGAGAAGACATCCCCCATACACACCCTATTCCATAGGTAATTCGTCTCGAGTTATTTTTAAGACCATAGACCCCAAGGGGGATTAGACAACAGCCAATCACATAGCGCAAATGTGTTCCGCGTAGATGACCCACGCTCAGAGCCACGCTTCCTTCACGAATTGAAGCAGAAAAAATGGCAGAAGACGCGGAGAGCGATATTGCTATTTGTTTTGTCCACGAAAACGACTAAAGAGAGAGTTCTGCTAAAGCTGTGTCAGCGAAACTGAAATTAAAAAAGAATCGCCCTTCCTATCTTGTATAGAGCTAACAGTACAGCAGGGAAATCCTTTACAGTTTGAAGAGAGAAATTTCTGGTTTGATATTTATTCTTACTCTTTTATCATTCAACAAAAATAACACTTGGCGTTCTCCTTGCTTTATTATACAAACGACCGGTTTCAATAGACCGGCGAAATTTCTCATTTTATTAAAGCACTGAGGTTACGACAACTTCGAGTTAAACTGATTTCACGGGTTGTCAAAGAGTGCAGCGATTCCCTTTTCCCAGATGAGCGCCGTCTCATTTTGCTTCAATATTGAGAAACGCTCTCGATGTCTTTACGCTTTCATTGCCTTTCGCCCGACATGTTTTGCACGGCGTTTAGTCATGCGAAACCTCGGCGAAACATCCACGCAGCGCGCGAGGTAACTTTATCCCGATTCTAAAAATAACTCGAGACGAATTACCTATGGAATAGGGTGTGTATGGGGGATGCCTTCTCTGTCCCCTATATCCTCTCTTGGGTTGGTGTATCTCTTCTTTAGTGTAATTGTACTTGTGAAGAATTCGTTTATTCGTCAATTTATTACATCTATAAAAAATGTAGGGACTGACATTCGTTTGCGGTTTAGAGGGGCGGGGGGCGCTTTGGGAGTAAGCTTCCTCCCAAACCACCCCCCCCCCGCCCCTATGTAGTTTTGACACTCATCCAAGATGGCGTCCCCTAACGCATAGCGCTCGTTCTCGACGATCCTACGGGAAAATAGGGGACTGTGAACAGTCTATAAAGATACAGAATTTTTACATTCTTTCAGAGATTATTTGCATAATGCTAGAGTATAAGTTCGTTCCTGTTGTCGGATTTTAGTTCGCACTTGTAGATCGCGCGAAATTCGTCTTCTCTTAATTTTTTTTCCTTTATCATTGGTTTAGTAATATCTATTTTTTAATGTGGCATGAATTTCAGACGGTTACTTCGCGTTGTTTTAACCCCCTCGGCAACGTCTGAATCGACTAGCCGTTAATGCCGTCCAGTGACGTCACTACCCGAACGCGAAAACCGGGTAGTGATTTTGTTTGGTTCATAGTAGTCTACTATGTTGGAAATTAAGCCCCGTTGGTGTATAGGTATAGGTATAGGTATAGGTATAGATAAATCATTAGTATGCATAAGGGTCGAGTCTATGACGTCACCCATTGTTTTAACCTAGAGAAAAATGCGTTCGTTCATATTAATTAAGTGTCTTCCTCCATATATAATGAAGTGGATAGTCGTTTCTTGTCTTTTGGAAGAACACAATAGGCACAATAGGGTTGCCTTCACTTGCCCGGGCTCTTTTAACCCTGATTGGCTCGTGTAGATACCTATTATGTGTTCCAAATAAAAGCGGGCAGTTTTCGAAAGTGCTATCTTTCTCGCAATCGCTTTGCTAAGGAAACAATTTGTTCGAGTTTGCTTGTTTGAGAAAACGTTTTTCCTTCTATGATTATGGCTTTCGCTATAAACGTCGATGAATTTCAAGCTCTTTTGGACGCTTGTTCCTCGAACCGTGACCGGGAAATGTTAACCGAATGCATTTTAATTCCCGATGAGTGGATCCCAATGGTGTATGCTCGGCTGTCGGAACTCACGACCCAAGAAATACCAGTAAGTAATTTGTTCCGTCTTAGTTCTTCGCTGATCTTTTTTTGTTGTTGTTTTAGTTTCCACGATACGATTAATACAAGCGAGATGGCAGTTAAACGTCTGACTAAACTAAATTATTCCTGCAGATTGAAATCAATCAGGATAATCAACGAAGCTGATGAGCCGGACAATTTTGTAAGTATATTTTGTCTGAAGTTGTAGTCAGTTTGAACAAAAAATTGATCTTTATTATTCTCTCGTTCACTATAGAGGCCTGCAGAGGATGAGTTGATCGCCGATTTGCAAGTCGACGAGTTACTGAGCGATTCGGTAAGTTTTTCGGATATGTTATCTCACGAAGTTTACAAACTTCACGCACCATTTCACTAGCCGTAGTTCGTTATGTTAATAGACTCGACTTGGGTTAGATTTGCATTTGATCTATTAAACTAAATCGCGTGTCTTTTGTTATCTTCGTTAAAGAAACAAAAGGACCCCAAACTCGATTTACTTCAACTTTTTTAGACATTTGTCATATAATACTCATCGAATATGTTTCTTTGCTTTACAGTTTACAGCTGAAGAAATACAGGCCGTAAATGAGATGGAACGTATGGCGCTAGACAAGGTAAGGTTGAGTCCATTTCCTTTTTAACATGCAACGTAAATGATTTGTTTAGTGATGAAACAACAATACGAATCTGCTTACTCGTTCAACGCCCACCTATTTCTTTAAAATGAGCGAGATATCAAAACCTGAAGTAATCTGATTTCTTCTCTTCTTATCTAGAATAACAACGAGTCGGCACCGTTATCCACGCCGCAAGATGCATGGGATAATATCTTTGACGAAGTAAATTGTTCAGGGGTTGTTCATTTCATTATCATAGACTGAATTGTTTTTCTTTCACGGAATTAAGTTTGGGTTATTAATTGTTCAACCACTCATGTGTATATATGGCGAAGCGAATGAATTATCGACTTGGGCTCCTTTGGAAACCGTAAGAAATCTTTCATGTTCACTTGTTTACAATACGCTATGTAGAAGTGCAAACGTCTCGACAAAAGTTTTTGAAATGTATACCTTTTCAAAATTAAATTGTTTAGCCTCACAAAAAAGACAATATCGTTTAAGAGTCAGAAGAATATAAAAGTTACAGTTGGCTTACTATTTATGATTTCAAGGCGTGAATGGTTTATTCTCAGTTATCAATTCCGTTTTTCACTGATCAAATAAGTTAATTTCTTTTCTTTGCAGATGAATGCACCCATTTTCAATTTTTTTTCTTTTCTTTTGTTCAAAATAGACAGCGTATTATATACTCAAACAGGTATCAGAGCAACTTAAGTTATTTCCACTAAGCAGCTGAATATAGCGATCTAGCAGTTTAACATACGTTACTCTAATAGTACCGGCCTGCTGATCTCTGAAACTAAATTATGTCGCGGATGAGTTCACATTGAATTAAATTTATTCTGCTGTTCAACATCAAAACAAACCACCTACCTAGTTGTTGAGTTATCACGCTCATTGTAGAAAAATAGAGTTTATGGGAGTAACACTTTCTTGTTAGTTTAGCTTTACACTTAGGCTAGGTCATATTTTAATACTAATTGTAGGAAATTCAATCCGGGGATGGTGAACCCGCAGCCAAAAAGCCTCGAGAAGAACATCGTTGCGACATCTGCGACAAGATCTTCTCTCGTTTGGATAACCTCAAAACCCATCAACTAATTCACAATGGAGAGAAACCGTACGAATGCACCCGCTGTGAGAAACGGTTCACACAGAAATCCGCTCTCAATCGACACCGGAAAGCGCACGACAAGCGAGCTGCCGAACGTACGTTTAGGCCTGGTTCAGACGCCGTACTTTTCATGTGCCGAACCTAACTGAATAAGTTCGACTTTGGAGCGACACTGGCGCGACATCTGATTCAGACGGCGTACCATGTGTCGAACCTAAGTTAAGTTCGACAAAAGTTCGACTGACTCTGTCGAACTTAACGCTTTTGCCGCACCAAACTAAAACTGCCGTACCAAATTGATTCAGACGCCGCTCTTTTGCCGTACTTAATTCATCAGTTAGGTTCGGCACATGAGTGGAGCGGCGTCTGAACCGGGCCTTACTTGCGCAACCTGTGGAGAAACATTCCACAATCGTGCACCTTACAACGCGCATGTCCGCACTGCTCATCAACAACATTAAAAAAACAACCGTGAACGCAGCGCTACGACTTCAAATTACGCACCAGCTTCGAAAAAATCTAAGAAGAAGGACCAAAAAACTGCGAGTACAGCGTCAGAACCATCAGCCACTCCTCATTCCGCTCCTCAAGCATCCGCTGTAACTGCAGGTTCCAGTTGGGAAGCGGATCCAGTTCTTATCCCTTCAAACCTTGTCTCAAGCTCTGACGAAGATATTGCTCAGACGTACCGCCAACACTGGCCCCAGATCCGTACCCGATTTCGCCGCCACAACAGACTTTAAGACTGGTACAATTTCCGCCTTTCTACCATCAACCCCCTCAGACCCCGCGAACAACTGAGCCGGATCTTCGCTGATCAACCCGCCGTCTTCAAAATCAACTTTTCGTTTGGTTTCATTCTGCGAAACACAGAAACCGATCAAAAAAACACAGCGAAAAATCACATGCGAAACACAGAAATAGATCCCAGTGTACTGTATTCGGCACTGCAAAGTCACACAGTTTTGATCTGAAGTTTGGTGTGACACAGGGCTCCTGTCTCGGTCCAATGCTGTTCTCCCTTTACACTAGTGAGCTTTTTGATGTCATTAGACAGCACTTGCCAACAGCGCACAGTTACGCCGATGATACCGGTATCTATTTGGCATTCAATCCAAACGATGATTCCTATCAAGACGCCGCAATTGCAGCAATGGAAGCGTGCCTCTGTGACATCCGGAGCTGGATGATCAATGACAAACTCATGATCAATGATTCCAAGACTGAGTTTATGCTCATTGGGACGAAGGCGCAGCTACAGAAAACTAAAAGCGCTACTCCAACTATTGGCGAATCCATCATCTCTCCCAGCACGGAACCCCTTAGAAACTTGGGGGCCTGGTTCGACTGCCATTTCAACCTGAACTTTAACATAACCAAAACATGTAGGAGTGCTTTTTTTCATCTACACAATATTAGACGCGTCAGAAAATATCTAAGCATAGAATCTGCCGAGAAATTACTCCACGCTTTCATCACAAGCAGATTGGACTATTGTAACACACTTTTATACGGACTACCCCACTGCGCCCTCACTAAACTGCAGCGTGTTCAAAACGCAGCTGCGAGAGTTCTATATCTAGCACCACGGTATTGCCATATCACACCAATATTATACGAATTACACTGGCTGCCTGTAACGTTTAGAATAGAATTTAAGATAATTATAATCACTCACAAAGCAATCCATGGAACAGCTCCTAATTATTTATCATCTCTCGTTAACTTTAAACCTAATTCTCCCTAGAGCCTCAGATCAAATAACAAATATCTGCTTTCAAATCTAAACGTCAGGACTCTCCCTACTCTTGGTGACCGAGCCTTTGTAGCCGCCGCACCAAAATTGTGGAATAATCTTCCGTTAGATCTTAGATGCACCTCCGATTTTGAAGTTTTTAAATGTAATTTGAAGACTCAGCTTTTTAAAAAAGCCTTCTCTGATATAATGTTGTAAATTATAGACTAGGTATTTATAAAAATCTTGTTGGCCACACCTTTGCTGAAATGGTACTTGGAACACGGCTTAGAAGTGACCAGAGTACACCAAGTGATCGAGTTTACCCCTGAGCCCTGTTTTAAACCTTTTAGGGATGCAGTGTCTGACGCTAGGGGAGCCGGGGATGCGGATCCTAGGAAAGCCATCATTGCGGATACCATGAAATTGGTAAGTTTTTTGTTCCAGTTTTTGGATTATAGGGGAGGGAACAAGGCATCTTTCATGGGTAATAAACTCATACAAGTCTTTTCTATTAAGTCTGTATTTTTTCCTTTTGTTTTTAGGTGGGTAATTCTGGCTACGGAAAAACCATCAGTAACCAACTGAAGCACAGGAACGTAGAGTATTGCAGTGACGCCGAGGCTAGCAGGAAAGTCAACACCCCTCTGTTCCGGAAACTGGACAACCTCACGGAAGATGCTTATGAAATAGAGTCTTGTAAGAAAACCATCAAATTAAATCTTCCCAATCAAATCGGGTTTTTTGTGTACCAGTATGCGAAACTTCGCATGGTACAGTTTTATTATGATTTTCTAGACAAGTATTTAGACCTTTTCATATGTGTGAGATGGATACCGATTCAACGTATATTGCCATTTCAGGGGAGAGTGTAGAGTCTTTGGTGAAACCAGAACTAAGAGTTGAATTCGACCAAGATAAATGTAACTGGTTTCCAAGAACCGATACGCCTGAACATAAAGCCTATGATAAGAGAAAGCCAGGGTTATTTAAAGTCGAGTGGGAAAGGAAAGGAATCGTGGGGTTGTGTTCAAAAACCTACTACTGTTTTGGGGCGAAAGATAAGTTATCTTGCAAAGGAGTTAACAAGAAAGTGTTACTCCGATAAACTCTATTTTTCTACAATGAGCGTGATAACTCATCAACTGGGTAGATGGTTTGTTTTGATGTTGAACAACAGAATAAATTTAATTCAATGTGAACTCATCCGCGACATAATTTACTTTCAGAGATCAGCAGGCCGGTACTATTAGAGTAACGTATGTTAAACTGCTAGATCGCTATATTCAGCTGCTTAGTGGAAATAACTTAAGTTGCTCTGATACCTGTTTGAGTATATAATACGCTGTCTATTTTGAACAAAAGAAAAGAAAAAAAAATTGAAAATGGGTGCATTCATCTGCAAAGAAAAGAAATTAACTTATTTGATCAGTGAAAAACGGAATTGATAACTGAGAATAAACCATTCACGCCTTGAAATCATAAATAGTAAGCCAACTGTAACTTTTATATTCTTCTGACTCTGAAACGATATTGTCTTTTTTGTGAGCCTAAACAATATAATTTAATTTTGAAAAGGTATACATTTCAAAAACTTTAATCGGGACGTTTGCACTTCTACATAGCGTATTGTAAACAAGTGAACATGAAAGATTTCTTACGGTTTCCAAAGGAGCCCAAGTCGATAATTCATTCGCTTCGCCATATATACACATGAGTGGTTGAACAATTAATAACCCAAACTTAATTCCGTGAAAGGAAAACAATTCAGTCTATGATAATGAAATGAACAACTTACCTCGTCAAAGATATTATCCCATACATCTTGCGGCGTTGATAACGGTGCTGACTCGTTGTTATTCTAGATAAGAAGAGAAGAAATCAGATTACTTTAGGTTTTGAAATCTCGCTTATTTTAAAGAAATAGGTGGGCGTTGAACGAGTAAGCAGATTCGTATTGTTGTTTCATCACTAAACAAATCATTTACGTTGCATGTTAAAAAGGAAATGGACTCAACCTTACCTTGTCTAGCGCCATACGTTCCATCTCATTTACGGCCTGTATTTCTTCAGCTGTAAACTGTAAAGCAAAGAAACATATTCGATGAGTATTATATGACAAATGCCTAAAAAAGTTGAAGTAAATCGAGTTTGGGGTCCTTTTGTTTCTTTAACGAAGATAACAAAAGACACGCGATTTAGTTTAATAGATCAAATGCAAATCTAACCCAAGTCGAGTCTATTAACATAACGAACCACAGCTAATGAAATGGTGCGAGAAGTTTGTAAACTTCGTCAGGGGCACCCAACAAGGATATAGTTCAAAACCACTTAGCATAGCATTGTTGAACGTATTTTAGTATTCAAACGGTAGATATAGGCATATTTTTATCCCCTAAAAACTTTTCATCTGTTCGGATTTCCTAGCTGAAAGTCTAGTGATCCGAAAATTATAGGGATAAAAACTTACCTTCTGCCAGGAAAAGGCTCCCGAAAATTCTAGGTGGCCTTTTTTAGGGTCAAAATCCGTTAAAAATGGGTAATTATGCCATTTTGTAGATGTTCGAAAATCCTAGGAGAGGCAGGCAAGCAAGAAATTTTACAACAAATGCTCCGAAAATTCTAGATGTCAAATTGTCTTCCGAACAGATATTTTCCCGAAAATTGCCGTTGGGTGCCCCTGCTTCGTAAGATAACATATTCGAAAAACTTACCGAATCGCTCAGTAACTCGTCGACTTTCAAATCGGCGATCAACTCATCCTCTGCAGGCCTCTATAGTGAACGAGAGAATAATAAAGATCAATTTTTTTGTTCAAACTGACTACAACTTCAGACAAAATATACTTACAAAATTGTCCAGCTCATCAGCTTCGTTGATTATCCTGATTGATTTCAATCTGCAGGAATAATTTAGTTTAGTCAGACGTTTAACTGCCATCTCGCTTGTATTAATCGTATCGTGGAAACTAAAACAACAACAAAAAAAGATCAGCGAAGAACTAAGACGGAACAAATTACTTACTGGTATTTCTTGGGTCGTGAGTTCCGACAGCCGAGCATACACCATTGGGATCCACTCATCGGGAATTAAAATGCATTCGGTTAACATTTCCCGGTCACGGGTCGAGGAACAAGCGTCCAAAAGAGTTTGAAGCTCATCGACGTTTGTAACGAAAGCCATAATCATAGAAGGAAAAGCGTTTTCTCAAACAAGCAAACTCGAACAAATTGTTTCCTTAGCAAAGCGATTGCGAGAAAGATAGCACTTTCGAAAACTGCCCGCTTTTATTTGGAACACATAATAGATATCTACACAAGCCAATCAGGGTTAAAAGAGCCCGGGCAAGTGGAGGCAACCCTATTGTGCCTATTGTGTTCTTCCAAAAGACAAGAAACGATTATCCACTTCATTATATATGGAGGAAGACACTTAATTAATATGAAGGAACGCATTTTTTCTCTAGGTTAAAACAATGGGTAACGTCATAGACTAGACCCTTATGCATATTAATGATTTACCTATACCTATACCTATACCTATACCTATACACCAACGGGACCTAATTTCCAACATAGTAGACTACTGTTCATTGTCGAAACATTCGCTTAATTATATAAAATTATTGGAAATTTTAGCGGGATTGTCGTTTGATATTCAGTACACGCCTGGCATGCTTCCTTTGAAACTATTAATCAATTCGTAGTTAAAAATTGAACTACGAATTAAGAATCATTGCGGAGAGCCGGTAGGTTCTTCATTTAGAGCCGCTTTGTGGTTTCGGCAGTGATTTTGTTTACGCGAAGTTTTCTGAGATTTAAAGTCATAATTAAATAATTCGACCTTCTTTTCATTTCCACCTTCATGTTTAATTTAATGATGCTGTTTGCTTTTCTCTCTTGTTTTTTTGTTTCCTTTCTTCTTCGTTAGGGAGCAAATAAATGGCCTCTTTCCAATGAAAGCAAATTGTTGTTTTTGAAGTGCTCCGTCTGTGTATTTATTTCATTTCGCCGTGATTGCGATCGAGTTTGATTATTGAGTTACAACAGAGTCGTTCAGAGTACTGCATGCAGTTAACAGTTTGAACGTTTAATATGAATTACGATCAAAAAGAGTAAAGCAATTCTGTGTCATGTAGACATTTTCAGACGATATTTCTTTGTTTACCAGTCGAAAATCGTGTTTTTCTTTTTGCATGAATTAAAGCAAAGGAGTAGTGACGTCACTGGACGGCATTAACGGCCGGTCGATTCAGACGTTACTGAGGAAGTTTGAAACGCCTCGAAGTAATCGTCTGAAATTCAGGCTATTTTTAATAAAAACTATATTTCGACAAGTCTTTAAGTCGTTTCAGGGCTTCAAAGGAAACACTGCAGAAATTTCCACTGGCCAGTAAAAAATAGATGTTACATAAGAAAATGTTTGGTCTATTAGAAAAGTTCGAACGCTTCAGCTTTGAGACACAAATAACATCACACCGCTTTCTATAGTGAATTTTCAACGTCGGCTCAGGGAAAAGAACCATCGGAATGACATGAAGGATCACTTACAATTCACCCCTCATATCTGGGTGGTGTATTTTCCCTTGAAGAACAGTGATAGACATTGATAGGTCTGCTCAATGTTAGTGTCAAATTCTTTCGTCATGGATGATGCATTAACATGAAGTCAAGAGAACAGTAATAGAAAAATGAGCCACAATAGTTCCAGTTCGAATCACTAGGAAAAAACCTCTCTCATTCCAAAAAACAAAAACAAGCATTTACCCGCACGACAAAAATAGATGGATGAAGAAGAGATCTTGGATCTTTCTTGTGTTTGTGGAAATATAGACGACGTGATGTCTTGCAAACAATTTGCAAACGCGGAAGTCTGTGGAGGAAGCAATTTTTGATTGGCCTATTCGGTAAATGTTAATCAATCACAATTGAATGGAAGTTCCAAGACCTTTGGACTAGAATCAACTTCTTTTCAAGTGATGTGCGTTATGCAACTTATTTAATATTTACTAGTATGTATGCTTCAAATATTTTTAGCGTGATTAAACAAATAATAATAACATAAGTAACGATAAAGATCGATTTAGAGTATATCCATCTAGTTGTATCTCTTCTATTGCGTTCCTTACGAAACCTAAATAAACTTCATTACAACCAAAATACACCTAATTACATCTTAAGTATAACACACTATATCGGAAATTCTAAACAATTTTTTTCTTTTGATCAGAAAATGTCTGAAGTCTCTCGCAGTAATTCACGCAAATCAACAAATCATAAACTGAATCTGGTTTGGTATAGCCACCCTAAAAGTGTAGGGCGCAGGAATATACCACGAGCGTTGCGTGTACTGGGGCCATGCTGGGTGACATAGAGGTGGTTCACAATTAACAAAAAGTTTCGGGCAATTACGGTTGCAAAGTAAATAAACTCGGCGTTTTGGGTCGTTCCTTTGGAAATTTCCCTAGGGCAACGGAACGTCTGAAAAGGTAATCCTGTTTTTTCGGTCGAGTGTTCCAATAAGACACTTTTTTTCGTGGTCTAGCATGGATTTTTTTAATAACCAGCCTCAAATTGTTTAGTATAAATTTACTTACAAGAGCATGAAGTTGATAACCGTCACTCTCTGTGGATTTGGAGCCTCTTGCGGTATGCACAGCTACCTCGTACGAATATATGCATTTGGAGTTTTGGAGAAATACTAGGTGCCCTTGCTTTAGTAGCCCCGGTAAAGCTGATGCCTCTTTGGTGAAAAGAAAAGCAAAACCTTGCAGTAACCCAAGAAATAAGAAGTGCCAATCCATGGCACTTTGCTATTGCAAACTGTGGCAATACTAAGTCTGCTTTGACCTACACTTGTACAGGGGTGTTAATATAAAGCAGCGAACACCTCTTAACGGTCTACTTAAGATCTTGAGTTTACATAATACCAACATGCATATTCTCCACACTGTTCTCCCACATTTCTTATTTAATTACTAAGGAGAATTTCTTTAACCAGGACTAACAATTGCTTCCTTTGTTCATCTAACCTTAACGTTTGGTTGAGCAGTAACGTTATCATTACAAATTAGATGTCGATCTCCATCAGCGTCAGTAAGTGCGGAAATAGTGAGACAAAGACAATGTTAAAAGAGATATTGTTTTCAGTGGGTCATCAGCTAAGTTTAATAAGTTTTTTAACCGTTTGCAGTACGTTTGGTCCCTCATTTGTAAAAAAATTAGGGGCTCTCACATACTTCCACATTGTGGACAGATCAATACCCGGGCAACCCGCCTTGGTGGTCACCCTATCTGTTAGATAAACATGCATATCAGCTAAAGAAAGGTATATAACAGGGATAGGCTGGTTACCCGATCTCCCTTGGGAACAGCACCTTCTCGACTTCTCTTTGCCCTATCCCCAATGGGAGAGCCTGTTCACAGGCGATGGGATCCCCTACTTTCATTTCATACAGGTCTTACGTTATCCACATGCCCCACATGATTACCCTTTTAGTTAATTATGTGGCTCCGATCCTTTGTTAGCTCGGGGCTTCTTGACCCAGTTGTAGTAAAACAACAATTTTCTCACAGTGCGGTATTAAAATAGCAGTGTGTGCATGATTTGAATGGTTGAAGACACGTGCTACGTCGTTATCGCTTGTACGGGGTTCTAGGGTCAGAGCTAATATTATCGCTTTTCTGCTAATACATGATTTCACTCAAAAATGAAAAGAATCTGTACCTAAGATAATTTCCCCTTGTTCGGAGTATGCTGAACTTTTGTTTGATTTGGTGGCTATTAAAAAAGGTGTAGTTGGGTCTTGCTTGTAAAACGTTACTTTATGCACTGCAAGCGTTATTCGATACCCTTCTCTTTACAAAGGATAAGTGTTTTGACAAGGGTGATGAGGCATCACGAACACTAATGACCAACACTTTTCAGTATTTGGTTACTATAAAAGTTTTCATTCTACCGAAGTTGGTGCTGGTTATCAGCGACGGTTTTCATCCTACTGAAACTTGCTGTCTATTTGGACTTTGGAGTCTCTTTGGACCCGAAACACTTGACTAGCAGTATGCACAGCTAGATATCCCACACGTAGCCTGCAAAAACATCCGTTTCTCCTCACGTCCCCAGTGGCGAAGAGCGGGGAGAAACGGATGTTTTCGCAGGCTATCCCACACGAATATACATCAAAGGTTGATAGCAGTAAAGGTGGTCATTTTCACAGTTTATTGTATTAGGTTTAGCTGAATTGGTAAACGGTCTGAAAGTCCGTAACAACCCCCACCCGCCTCCCCACAAAAATCACGAAAGCTGCGGACTAGTCGGCGCCATTTGTGACATTTGTCACAAATAGTTTTGTTCGGATGCGTAGTATTTTCTAAGTAGGTCGAGTAAAAGCTACGAAATTCGTTATTCCGTCAGAAAGCTTTAGAACAACGAAAACATTATTTGCTTTTAAAAACGACTCATTAACGAACTATTTTACACATAAGTTTGCAGGGTCTCCCGTTCTTGGCAAATGAACTTCAACTAAATATCAAGGGATTAAGCCACAGACTGTTTACTGAAACGCGCTTTCTTTTCAAGACGTTTCTCAATTCATGTTGAATGTGGGAGAGAGATCATTCTCATGAATATGTACCAATTAATGCCTCACGTTCTTGGCTAAAACGCGTTTAAAAATAGTACACACCTGGCTAGTATTCAAACTTATTTCAATGTGCAGCCAAGGAGATGCGGAAGAGCATTGTCATCTGCGCTATAGCTCGCTCTAACGGGGTTACCTGTTTAATTTAGACTAAGGAACTTGATTATTATCAAATGATAATTGTGTGGTAATCATTATGATAATTGACTGTGTGACTTTTTATTTGCCTTGTGGCCTGCTAGCTTGGATTGCGCATTTGAAATCAGTGATTTCGCTGAGAAACGAGTTTAGAAAAGAAATGTGTTATATGCAAAGTTCCTGCAGGCCTCGGCCTGCGCTTTGGCCCACATTTGAGTCAAATCGTGGGGATGTAATGGTTGACTGCTACTGATAATTGATTTGCCATGTGGCCTGCTAGCCTGAATTGCGCATTTGAAATCAATGAAGCTAGCTTTATTTTCAAGACCTCTCTCAACTCCTGCTAAATGAACGCGTTTTAACATATTGGTCAAATATATTTAAATATGCAGCCAAAGGGATGCGGAAGAGCACTGTCACGTTCTGCGCTCTAACGAGGTTATCTGTTTAATCGAGACTAAGAAACATTATTATTATGATAATTGTGACCGTCTGCCGAAATGATTCTCTTTTAAGTGGTCTATAAAGATGTGCCAAGTGGCCTACTAGCTTGGATTGCGCATTTGAACTCAGTGATTTCGCTGAGAAACAAGCCTAGAAAAGACATGTGTTATGTGCTAAATTCCTGCAGGTCTCGGCCTGCGCTTTGGCCTGGATTTGAGTCAAATCGTGGGAATGTAAAGGTCGACTGCCATTGATAGTAGATGGTTGCGCTTCACCAAAAGTAGTAACGACTCATTCAATTATATCAACACTCATAAAATACAGAAAGTCTTAGTATTGTGCTTCCACAAAGGTCGGCCGGGTCATCACTAAATTTACACCGCAAATGCGGAAGTATTTAATTTTTCGTTCGTGTAAAATACCGCAATACTAAAAGGCGAATCGTCTTTCAAACTCAGGCGGTGTGTATCATCGCTGCTGGTTTAAATACGTTTTTCCCCTAGAAAAGTGAATCATCAGATGCAAAGCAATGAGAATTGTTTTGTCTACGTTATGTATTGAGTTTTTAATTCTAGCAAGTTCTTATGGACATCCTTGTCGACGTAGCATATGCTCTTACAACTGGTCAGCATGGAGTGGTTGTTCATGTCCTTGCGGTTCTGGTTGTACCAGGACACGAACTGGACGAACTAGTCCTTCTAGCCGTTGTTGTCCCCATGACTCAACTATTCAAACAGTATCATGCAACACTGACCCTTCTTTATGTCTGAATGGTGGCTCGCAAAATCCTCGCGGGTGTTCCTGCAGTTCAGGATGGACAGGGACCTGCTGTGGGATCGGTAAGTGACAGTTTTTTTTGCCCGTTTATTCTATCTCGTTCAATTCGGCAAATAATGGCCAATTTTTCCAGAGCTGAATTCTAAAGAAGTATATCGAAGTTCAGAAAAAGAAAATTGTTGTCTTGTGTTCACGTCCTCGACAAAACGTGAAAATAGGAAGTTTCACGTTGTAGTCGTGCAACGACGGCAAAGAAATGTACAAAAAAGCGTGATGCACGTACAAAGTTGTTGTTTTGCCAATCTAAACCCATGGCTTTTTTGTTATTAACGACGACTTTTGTCTTAACCAAGAATAAACCATCTAAATAGATGAAAAGGTAACAGTTCTTGGGAAGAAATGGCCCATCGTGAGACGAAACCAAACCAAATGATGTTTGAGGGTTTAAAGAAAACATTCATAAAAATTTCCTTTTTTCGCGAGTCCTGCTGAGTGAATTTATGTTCTCTCGGTGATTTTTTACTCGAACGAGAATTAATTCTTGCCTCATAGGCTTCTTGATGCCATCAAACTTTCAGGATCCTATTTTAGTGATAGAATCCAGGGGGGGCGGTACTCCCTATAATGGCCTATATGGGGAGGCTCCGCCCGAAAAGGGTACCTTTTCCAGGCTTCAGTTATATGAAAGGGTAGGGATTTCACTTGTTGACTGAAGTATATGAATCAATTATAACATTGATAGACTGTTCACAGCCCCCTTTTTTTCGTAAGATCATCGAGATCGAGCGCTCATGATCACCTTCAGTGGCAGCCATTTTGTAATAGACCTCTTCAGCTTGTATGTTTTGTTTTCCCAATAGAGGTTCCAGGGGAACTCAACATTTGTCTTCTCATAAATTATGCGTACATATGTACGTGAATAAGACGAAATGTGAAAGAAACAGTTCCCTAGAGTATTATCGCGTGACCTGTATTGGAAAAACAAAACATACAAGATAAAGAGGTCTGTTGGATTCAAATGTACCGAGAGGGCGGGTGTTGATTCTAATCATAGACTGTAAGCTCTTAACAAAACAAAACTATCCCGACAAATCTCGACAAGTCAAGAGTCAAGTTCCATAGAAGAGACCGAGTCAGTGAGTTAATGTAACGCAACTTTCGATGTCACTAACATTTCTTCCCCTCCCGAATTACAGGGAAGCTGAAATTCGAATACATTTTAAATGAAATACATCCTTAGCTCTAGATCATAGTTCTCCGAAGTGTTCTTGTTACACATTAATCTGATTACAGTTCAGAATCTGATAAGAGTTGCCCGAATCTCCAGCTGAGAGATTCTAGTTATTGGTCGCTTAAGGGTCTTGCCATTAACCCATACGTCCACCACTCGCATAAGGCCGTCAGGGCAGTGGTACGTCTGCTCAATGCGCCCAACATTCCATTGTCGCCTCACTGTACCGGGATCAATAACAACGACAACATCTCCAACCCGCAAATTGTCGTTACGGAAGTACCATTTTCTTCTTGATCGCATAAGGCCGTCAGGGCAGTGGTACGTCTGCTCAATGCGCCCAACATTCCGTTGTTGCCTCACTGTACCGGGATCAATAACAACGACAACATCTCCAACCCGCAAATTGTCGTTACGGAAGTACCATTTCTTCTTGATCCAATCTGCGGTAAGTAGTCTTTCATCCATCGGTTCCACAAATGTCTTGTGAGCTCTTTTAGTCTTCTCCAACGCTTTCTGGGATTAAATGGCTCGGTGTCGACGTTCTCCGGTACAAAATCACCACCTGTCTGCCCAATCAGAAAGTGATTTGGAGTCAAGACGCGGTCGTCGTTAGGGTCGTCACTCACAGCTGTTAAAGGTCTCGAATTCAGCAGACTTTCTACCCCAATGAAGATTGCCTCCAACTCCTCATCATTAACTTCTGCACCACCGAGTACAGCAAAAGTAGCTCGCTTTGCTGACTTGATCATAGATTCAAATACTCCACCAAAATTTGGCGCTGCAGGCTCCTTTATTGGAGGTCATCCGTTGTATTTTGTCTTGGTCTATAGCGGAGACTAGGTCTCGCAGTTACCTCGAGGCGCTTACAAAGTTCGTTCCATTGTCACTTAACATTTGCTGCGGCCATCCTCTCCGCGCAGTTATTCTGACAAAAGCGTTAAGAAATGCATCAGTGTCCAAAGACCACGCCATCTTTAAGTGGCAACAATGGGTCTTCAAAAAGAGAAACAAACACAAATAGCGCTTAGCTCGCACTCTTCCATGTCCTTGCTAAGTTACGAAAGGTCCTCCAAAGTCTACTGCACAGCTCGCGAAAGGTCTGAAGGATTGCTGCAGTCTAATCTTCTGTAACGGTGCCGTTTGCTGGTGAGCTGGCTTTGATCGAAATCGTCTCGCGCACTCAAAACATTCTCTCGTGACTCTTTTCACTTGTTCACGAACATGGACCACTAAGTATTTCTCCCGTACATGATTAATCGTATAGTTAAGCCCCATCTGATGACCCTCTAATTCATGGTAGTACTTAACGATCAGTCCTGTGACGTGATTCCTCTTAGGCAGTATGATTGGACACTTTACATCATATGGGAGATCGTCCGCATGCCGTAGTCTGGTGTGGGACCTCAAAATGCCATTAACTAATACTGGATTGAACAGTGACAATGCACTTCCTCTTAGGATTTCCTTACTCTTTCTCAATGCCTCTATCTCTGCTGGGTACACTTTAGACTGAACCTCCCGAATGATAAATTCCTCAGCGTTTTGAAGCTCCAATGGCTTCAGTTCACCCTTCTCTCTTTGCTTAGCTGATTTCCGACAATTGTCGGTAAATCGGCGCACCCACGCTGTCACACGAACTAAAGACAACCCAGTTTCCAGTTCTCCTTTTGTTTTGGCTCAATACCATTTCGAGTATCTTGAGGGGTCCAATCGCCACACCTCTTCGACAATAGCCGTTTCTTCACCTTCTTCAATTATTAGGTAACTGGTAGCTTCCTTTGTTCCTGTTTGTTTTGCTCCTTTAAGTTCAAGGCCCTCCGTTGACGTCAAACTTGCACTCTGGCCAGTCTTGTCTTGAGTTCTTCAAAAATTGGAGCCCATTCCACCATACGTCTGTGCTTGCTATCTCTTCTACTGTCAGGCCTCTTGTTCCGAGGTCGGCAGGGTTTACGTCCGTAGGAACATAGCACCACTGATTAGGAGCAGAAAACTCATGAATTTCTCCAACACCATGGGCTATGAACGGCTTATACTCTTTACTCTGACTTTGGATCCAGTACCCCACATTCATATTGTCCACCCAATAGGTCACTCCATTTGTAGTTATCTTGAGTGTAGAGCAAACTTGTCTTGTTAATCGTAATTCGACTAATGCACCCAAAAGCTCTAATCTGGGGATGCTCATGCGATCACTGCTTTCAATGATGCCAGCCGAGACTTCGACATAATCAATCGAGCAGTAATGTTGCCACCCTGATACACATGACGTGCGTAAACTACAGCTGTGTATGCGATCTCTAAGGCATCACTGAATGTATGAATGCTCAGTTCTTCCACCTTAGCACTTGGGTCTTTCAAACACCTTGGGATTTTTACACATTCAAGGTCTTTCAATTCTCGAAACCACTTTGTCCATTGTCGCTGATGATGTGTCGGCAACAGTTTATCCCAATCCCGTGCCTCCAGCCAAGCCTTTTGTATCAACAACTTGGACCTGATTACATAAGGTGATAAGAAGCCTAATGGGGCGTAAACGGATGCTATTCGCCTCAAAACATTCCTCATGGTGAATTCAAATCCATCTAACTGTAATGAGTGTCTAAAGGAAAATTTGTCGTCTGTGGCGGCCCACAGGACACCCAGAGTCTTGGTTGTTTGCAGTTCTCTCTTTTCTAAGTCTAACACAGATGTTATTAGATGTTTTCGCTACAATAACTGTGTCCTCCGACCACCCAGACTCTCCAAACCAATTTCCATGGTTGCTGACATTAAATTGACCTTCTGACCATTAGCAACATTGATAATTACTTTTTCCTTCCTACCACCAAACCCCAATTCCTCTATTACATCCTCGTTAACATACGACTTATCAATGCCTTCGTCCAAGAAACAATTAACTTGCAAGCGTCTCTCCCCATGTTTCAGAACGACCTGAACAGTACGCAAGGCAACACTCGTCTGTGCATGTTTTTGTACTGTTTCATATGTACTGGACTTGTTTTCCTCTGTCACGGGTGTGTCAGCCTTCCCCTCCATGGACCAGGAGCTACTTTCTTCTCATGAAGTAACCGATGGTGTCTGTTCTTGCATCCGTCAATTCCACACTCTCTGCTCCGAGTACATGAGTCACCAAGGTGCCCTTTCCCCAAATAACGGTAACACAGTCCAAGTTTCTTTGCCGTCTCCCATTTCTTTCTATGTTCCATTCCCTTGAACACATCACATTTCCAAATTGGGTGTTTTTTACAGGGACGATTACGTTTCTCTTCTGCGGTCCCGAAATAAGATTTGGTTGAGCTCTTTCCTCGTGTATTTCCAATACTAGACAAACCATGATTAATTTCTGATGCTTGTACCTGGTACTCAGCTTTCTCAGCATCCCAGTGACGCAGCTCTTTAAGAGACTCCATGCTTCCCTTTTCTTTAATCCATCGGTAGTACTGGCTAAGTAGAGCTTGAGGAACTTTTTCTAACACAATTGCATATAATGTTCCTCCTTCCAGGTCAGCAAACTTCTTATTTTCCTTTAAAGAAACCACAGTCCTCTCCACTATGTCGGCGAATCTTTCTAGCTCTCTTGGATTATCAGCGTTTATTGGCCTCACCCTAGGTAGCTCATCGATATGGACTTGAATCTGTCGCCTGTTTTCCCCGTATTTTTGATTCAACCTTGCCTTGGCAGCTTCGTACGCATGATCCGAGTAACCAAGCCCTTTCACCGTTTCGGCCGCTTCTCCTTCTCCTTATAAACAGCTTTCGAGCCGCAACATTTTAAACTGAGCTGACAAATTTGTTTCATCCTCACAACTGGAAAACGCTGCCCACCACGACTGATATTCGTTCTTGTCCCCCGAAAACTTTGGGATTCGAATCCGCTCGAGCTGTTTGTTTGCATCGACCATGTGACCATCTTTGCCAATTATTGTGCGCTCGTAAATGTGCCGATCTGGCTTGTGTTATTTCCTTCACTTTCCTTGCTGTTACTTTGCGATAAGAAAAGCCGAGCTTCCTTTGTCTCGTTATCCACACGATCTATTATTTTATCCGCTTCATCACCTGTTGAAGCTGCCAGCAGTGCATGCTTATTTTCTCCGTACAAGGTTTGAAGCGAGTCCAACAGCTCCAACAATTCATCCCGTCGCTTGTCGATGCCCCGTAGTTTTGCCGTGACATTTTCCTTGTTTGGCGTTTCCGTCGATAATTCCGCCGGTAATTCGTTCACAAGCTTCGTAATACTTGTCTTGAGGGTTCTTTTTCCCTTCTTTAACCATTCTATTTTTCCATCCACAATTCCTTCAGCTTCAGTGCGCGATGGACTTCCCGCCAAATGTTTCCAAGTTCGAACAAGTCCCTTGCAAATTCCACAATACTGGCTCCAATTAGTCCAATTATTACACCAATGCGAATATCCGGTTTTCAAAGGACCAAAATGTTTATTCTTTTCAAAGACTGTAAGCTCTTAACAAAACAAAACTATCTCGACAAATCTTGACAAGTCTCGAGTCAAGTAACGTCACATGATATAAACACGTGATAATTGTCAGGACGTACATAATGTAACGCAACTCGAAATGTCACTAACAGCGGGCCTCGGGGCGAAACCGTTTCACGCCCTTTAAGTAGCTCAAGCTAGACCCGGTCAAGATAGCCGCCTGTAGCGCTCGTTCTCGACGATCTGCGGGAAGATAGGGGACTTTGAACAGTGTATAACACCATAACATTTAATCGAGAGCTCTGGTTCCGAACGGGAAGTCCACTAAGCGGATTTCCGGCTCGTTAGTACGTAGGGGGGTAACGAGAGGTACATATATAAACATAGTGGCACAACGTTGGGTGGAGGAGATAATGTAAATGTGTTGCCACTCGGTGAAAAATAGATGATATTGAGCGAATGGCTGGGTGGCACCCGACAAGTAGAGGAATACGTGTGGGTGAGTTCCTTGTGTGAGTTTTTGTGAAAGTATGAACACGTTGTGTCTCCTGTTTGAGGAGACCGAGATTGTATCCACGTCTGTTAAGGTATTGTGCTTGTGTTAATTCGTTACAACGCAGTTTGAAAGTCTCGTTGGAGGAACATACACTTTGTATTCTCAGGGAAAGGCTGAATGGGAAAGCTCGTTTAGTGTGTAAGGAGTGACACGATGAGCGTAAAAGGTTCTGATGTTCGGCTGTAGGTTTAGTATAAAGAACAATTTCAATGATCGATACTATCATTGAGCGACATTTTGGCGTAGAAAAAGGAAAAAGATTTGAATGAGAAGTTTAGTATAAATTTAACAGTGGCATGAAAGGTATTGAGGTAAGAGACGGAATAATACGTTTATAGTGAGAATGAATTTGAGGAGGTCGCAAAGATTCCAAAGATTCTGTGTATATGGTGGAAGCAGAGCGGTCATTAGAAGTGACGACAGGCGCCAATAATACCTTCATTGTTCTCCCATCTGTGTTTAAATCTATACCCCTCGTTTCCTTCCGACGACTACTAACAAGCCGGAAGTCAGCCATTCGAGGACTTTCTGTTTCTGAACCATAGCTCTCGATTAGTGTTTCTAAAAAAATGGACAACAGTTTTCAATGGTCTGTACTGTTATCGAGAATAGCTCTTGACCAACAAGCAGCATGTGACTCTTCTCGTTCTGTTAGAGTTGAGCGCTGCCTTCGATACTGTTGACCCTAATATCCTGCTAACACGTTCAAGATCAAAGCTGGGTCTGAATGGAACTGCTGTTTTGAGGGTATGCTCTTATCTATCCGGAAGAACACAACGAATATCTGTTCAGGGAGCGCTTTCAAAATTATTTCATCTTCGTTATGGCGTTCCTCAGAGATCATTCCTAGGTCCCTTTTTGTTCAGCATATATTCAAGCAAAATCTTTGACATTGTCGGTCGCCACCTTCCAAAAGTTCATTGTTATGCAGATGACTCCAGCTTTATTCATCGTTTAACCCAAGCTGTGCTTTTAGTTAAGATGAGGCAATTAGATCAATGGAAACCTGTGTCTCGCACGTTAAGCAGTGGATGACCTCGGACAAACTTATGCTTAATGACGACAAAACCGAATTTATTGTAATAGCATCGACACGACATCCACTGAAAAAGGCTGCTGTTAACACTATCTGGGTAGGGGATTGCGATGTAAGCAAAATATCTGTTGTGCGGATTTTGGGTGCGTGGTTCGATGATCAACTTACTATGGCCGTACACATTACCAAAATTTGCAGTGCTGCTTTCTATCACTTGCACAACATTAGACGCATAAGGAAATACCCTTCAGTGGATGCAGCTGCGACTCTTATTCACTCTTATGTTAGTAGCCGAATAGACTATTGTAATAGTCTATTATATGGTGTGCCTAAGTGCCATTTTGACAAGTTGCAGAGAGTTCAAAATGCAGCCGACAGGCTTTTCGTTATGCAGGGCAAATTATGCTACGTAGGTTCCGCCGGTTCCACAGGTTCCGCGGTTCCACGGTCTGCAGTTCCATAGATTAGTCTTACCCGAAATACGTGAATCGCAGAACCTCGCACTGGCAGAGGCTAGCGGACAGAATTAGAAGGACAAGGAAAGAAGCCAATAGGAAAAAGAAAATATATGAAAAAAATACAAACCAACAAACAAAACAAAACACCAATAACAACAACAACAACAACAACAACAAGGAAGAAAAAAGAAGAAAAAAAACGAGCTCATATAAGAATCGAATTTTGGGAAAATTCTTTGCCACTAGGCTACGTGAGAAAATATATGCAGTTTTTTTTAAAAAATATTTCTTTTAATGCCTTTTTCATGGAACTTCCGCCTGCAAGCTCTGTTTGAAGCTGGTAGAGCCGTATTAAACACGAATTCAAAGATGTATTTCAGGAAAATAACGGGGCTTTTGACGGTAAAAAAGCGAACCTAAACGCATTTCCTTGCATTCAAAGCACATATGCCCAACAAAGCCCATACAACTCGTCTGCCAAGGACGCAAAACATGTTTTCTTACATCTATTTTAGGGTAGCACTAGAAACATTTCTCACTAATTTGCAGTTACTAAACTTTACTAATGGTTGAAAATCCAATTTAGATTTGAGTCTCTTGCCAGTCACAATCATTACACTAGTCTTGTCCTCATTTATTGGAAGTTTATTAGTCCCAGCCCAGCGTTGGATTTCCGCTACAGAATTATTGAGGTCACTTTCCAGTTTATGCATGGATTTATAGTCAGCAGAGCAGGTGATGGGCATACATCAGCATGAAGATCTGTCTGCGCATGTAATATTTAGTGGCAAATCATTGAGAAATAAAATGAAGAAAAGAGGACTTAAAATAGATCCTTGTGGCACTCCATGCTTTACCAGGCCAAAGACGGTTTTAAACTTCAAAACTTAAAAAAATTCAACTTTATTTAATAAAAATGTTGATTACAATAGGCTGGCCAGAAATTGCTAATCCAGACGGCCCAGTTAACAGAAAGATAAGATGAAAGGAGAGGAAAGGAAGGAAAATATTTTAAGTTACAATAATTCATATTTCTATCATAGTTTTATTTTAATTACATTAAATCTAAGGAAAAACGAAAAAAATTGACGGAGAGCGAAAAATAAATACTTTTGTACAGAATCACTTAACTGTTAACCAAACTTTTTAAATTATTATAAATGACGCCTCAATATAGTCTTTTTCTCTTTTTAAGATATCGGAAAGCAATCTGTGAAGCACTTTCGTAAATCTCTTTTAGTAAGATCTCTGATATGACAAGGTATCTCATTCCAAAGTTTTACGCCACAACGAGAGAACGAGTTTTTGTCTATTTTCAGCTTTAAGCTTTTAACGTGAAAGTTACCTGAAGTAGATGATCGTGTATGGTATAAATGAATTGTTGAGGTTTTTTCAAATAAATTTAAGAGATTTGTTGGCGATTTGTTGCTGTTAATATCTTGCATGAGACTAGCCACAGTTCTATAATACATAAATGACACTGGTTGAATATATCAGCGTCGATAAACAGAGGAATTGCGTGTTCACGTATATCCGTAAAATATATCATGCGAAGCACTTTCTTTTGGAGAATTTGAATTTTATTGAGGGAAGTCTTGGATGCCTGACCCCAGGCAGCAAGACCATAGTTTAGGTGAGGGTGGATTAATGTTTGGTAAATATATAATAGTATATGACGAGGTATGGAGTGCCGAAGTTTTGAAATCAGTCCAATAGTTTTACTGATTTTTGCCGTAATAGCGTCAATGTGATATTTCCAAGTAGCGTTTTTATCAACCAACACACTAAGATATTTATATAATTTTTGGACTCTAGAGTAACATTTCCATTTTTCTAGTTATCGAACATGTAGAGGCTCTGTTGGCAAGTGACTCCTTTTTAATAAGGATGAAAGATTACAAAGTTAGTTTTTGTAGCATTGAGAGTTAACTTATTGGATGTTAACCATTCGTGGAGGTTTCGTAATTCAATATTTACTATATATTCTAGAGTTTTTAAGAGATATTAGTATCATCTGAGAAGAGATAAAACTTTAGTTTATTCGAGCATTGATGTATGTCATTAACATACAATAAAAAGCAACGGCCTAAGGACAGATCTTTGGGGAAGACCACAACTTGCCATCAATGCAGACTAGCTGACGTCTACCGGAGAGATATGACTAACAGCAATTATATGCTCTGTCAGTAACGCCATAGGCCTCTAATTTCAGCAATGATAAATTGTGGTCGATCATGTACTACTCCAGGCCACTCGCTCCGTTCTTGTCCAAATTTAAAAAGAGCTCATCAACTATCTTAATCAGAACAGTCTCAGTACCATAAGAAACTGATCGTAATAAAAGTTAACTTATTCATATTAACGAATAAATATCGATATCTTAATAGTTTCACAATACAGAAGCGTTCTTAAGCTAAAGCCTGGAGAAAACATTGCATCACTTACAACATAAAAACGAAAATTACCTTTTATGAAACAAATTAAAGGCATTGTCTGTGAAGTTCTTTTAACTCCAACAATGGGTAGAATGTGAGATTAAAGTTGTTGTTGGTCAGTATCACTCCGACGGCGTTGCTAGGTTAACTCTTTGCCTCTTCCATTTCATGGCGTAGTTTTGCTAGTTCTTCTGTTCCTACGATTCTGTGACGGCCATTGGCATCGACATATTTGAGTATTGCAGGATATGCGATGTAGACTTTCCGGTCGTCTCCGAGTTTCTTCTTTAGAAACTTTCTGTAGGGCACGAGCTCTTGCCTCCGCCGCTGGGTTTTTTTGGCGAAATCCTCACTTATACCGATGGCATTTCCGTTTAACGGGTTATCCTTTAGACGAGCGGCGGCATTCCTTAGTACCTTCATCTTATCCGTGTATCGAAGAAAAGCGACGTGCATTGGTCTGGGATTACGTTAAATGTTAGGGGTTTAAATAGTTCAAGAAAACGAAGAGCTATTTTTCGGCAACTGCACGTTAACAAGTACTCAGTAATTTTCTTGCAAGAGACATATAGCTCTACTGACCAAGAAAAATTATGGAGTAACGAGTGGGGTAGTAAGGTGTACTTCTGTCATGGAAGTAATTCAAAAGTTTTGGTTTGAAGTAATTAGCTGGTGGAAAACTCACAGTGGTGAATGTTTGCTATTTGATGACTTAAGTATAGTGTATGGCTATAATCCCGAAGATCCTAAAAGGCAAATCCTTAACTATTATATCCTTCTTGGCAAGAGACATATCTTCCTGCAAAGGAGCGAAATTAAACCCCCAAGCTTTGATCACTTTCTTGAATTCGTTAAAGACAAGTTAATTGTGCAAAGATCGATTTTTTATTCCAAAGGACAAAAAGCAAAATTTCTTTCACAATGGAAGCCTCTCCTCTCCTTATTGTAAATGATTATAATCTAATCTACGTATGCGTGAAGCAAGCCTGGTTGCAGTGTATGTTGTATTAATCGTTGGAATCTTAATTCTTAATTGTAATTTTTTGTAACCTTAAATTTTGTAGTGAAAGTGTTGTAAGTGATGTAGTGGTAATAAAGATCTCTGTTAATAAAAAATAAAAAAATAAAAAAAAATAAGAAACTGATCGTGAAAAACTATCTTAATCAGAAGAGTATCAGTACCATAAGAAACTGATCGTGAAAAACTAATCGTGACTGATTGTGATTGAGAAACTGCGGAAACTGATTGTGTTAAAAACGTTAACAGCCTGTTCCCTTATATCAATGTTTCGTATCCGTTCATACGACGGAAGCAGAGTTAATCTGAGAATTTCTTTGGATGCAATGGTTTTAAGTTTATTGCCGGTTTTATAAAGAGATCCGTTTTTAGGCTTCGCTAACTATATGTTTATTATAGCATGTTATTTCTTTTCTCAGATGTGGATGAGTGTAAGACGCCCGGCCGATGCCCGTATATTTGTACTAATACTCCTGGCAGCTATATCTGCAGCTGCCCTTCCTGCTATGACCCGGATGGAGCAAACTGTATACTGAACCAGTGCAAAATAAACGACATCTGTTACCAGTACAACAGAGTTAACCCAGATAATCAGTGCCAGGTACTAACTTTACAGTGTTCTGGGAGTCTGACGAAATTCAAATGCAAATTGATTTTTCTTCGTCTTTGAGAATAGAAATTTCTTTTGAAACATTTTGATGACATCATCCATTATGACGTCATAATTTGGCGTTCTACGTTAGGCACGGGGAAAAACTGAAAAATCGACTGTCTGGTAAGTTTAATAAAGAAATGGATCAAGAGACGAGAAAAATGGGAAAAACTAGCTTAAATATTCCTTTTGAGGGTTGGTTGGGCCCAAGGATGATACCCAAACAATTGAATAAAACTGTAAATGTTGAGCGATATAATTCAGTAAATATTATGTGCAGGTAAATGTAAGTTACAACAGTGAGACTACTCTGCGCATAACGGACAGTTTGTTTTTGTTTGTTGTTGTTGTTGTTGTTTTTTTCAATACCAGAACTTTTCGAAAACACACTTGAAAGCCCAACAATTGGCCTTAAAATTCTTCTACCAAGTGACAGCGACAACTCGTAAAACAACAACATCTTCGTACGTACGATTGGCATCTGTGAATTACAAACAAAGAAACCACAAGACATCCTTCACACACAACAACAGGGAAAGCGAAAGAGAACCGTTTAAAAACACATATGGATCCAACCCTCTTACATATAATATTATTAACCGGAAATATGTAACACATGCTTGTTTTTTTTCCTGACAAAAAAAACAGAGGTGTAGCAATTAAAAGCAATGATTCACTACTGAAATCTAAAAGCACTTGGCGGTCGTAAATGTACGTGTCTACATATCTGACTGGATTTGCAAGAACATGGCTACAGAAATCTCTCTCATATACCTTCTGACTGAGTCTTGTAGTGGAGCATGTTTTTTTTTTTTCATAGTTACTTTTTATTCATTAATTAATTTAATTTAATTGCATAGGCTGCAGTAGGTAGACTTTGATGAGTTTCTCACTGGCTATTAACAACCCCCCCCCCCCCCCCTTCCCTCAAAAAAAAAAAAAAGTTTTTCATAACTTCCCATAATTTTCTCAGTATGTCAATTTGAAATCATCGCGCCTATTAGACTGAACTCGGCTCTCATAGTGGGTTGTCTTACAGTTTTTTGGCTGCCTTGAGCAAAATTTTCCGGAAAGCATCACTAAGCCTGGCAAAGTCTGCTGGCAAAGTCTGCTGCGTCCAATATCTTCTCGTATTTCGTCTCATTTTGGCTACACGAGAGAAACACCGATCCCGGGCTTGACACAGAAAGACTGGATATTGCGAGCTTTGTTGTTGGCAGTAAAAAGTCTTTGGCCTCACAAAGTAGGTTCTAGGGGTGAATTCTATTCGTCGAGATGGAAGTTGATGCCGATCTCTGACCAGGTCAAAGACTTAGTTAAAAATTGTTTTGAAGGCGGAGGCTCGATGTCTTCTTTTCAGCCGCTGCAGTTACATCCGGGATCTTGAATAAATCGACGGTGTGAGTCGACAAGAGTTCCATGTGACAATTTATGTAGAGGAAGCGAAAGTTTTACGGACTAATTTGACGATTGTTCGCCCGCGTTGAGTGTGGACGTATTATGAGTGGGTTTTCGGAAGTGTTGTGATTGCCTCCAAAGTCATTTATTATGTGATTTACCGAGAGTGTTGACAGACAAACCTCAAGTATGTGGTTGAGCTCGTGTTACCGGAAAACTTTGTGCCAAGCATAAAAATGCTTCGTTAGTGTTTAGTGTAGCTGATTTTGTCTTAAAAAAAACCCTAGTCTGTACTCAAAGATTGTGGATTTTAAATCAAGTATTTTCGGCAAAGACTTAGCTATGGGCCTCGTGATTTGACTGACTAAAAGGTTATACTTTCCCGACGTTTCAAACTCGTATATTTCATTGCAAATCCTATTACTTCTGCGAGAAAAAAATTACCGTCTGTTGCAAGCAATATATTTCTGCAAGGTTATTTTGATTTCCTGCTGTAGTTTTTTCCCTCTCTTTTTTACTTAGAAATAATTAAGCTGTGATTGTTGAGCCTTAGCTAGTGACTTTTCACTGTTTTCCATTCGACTTAGATGTCAAATTGAAAATGCACTTGCAATTTCTTTAGCCACGTCTTAGCAAATTCAGTCAGATATACATAAATGTGTTTTTTTAGAAATGTCATAGCAGCTACAAGACACGCTGGACAAATGACAATGCATTGTCATGCAATGATGGTAATCAATGCACAAGAAATGACCGCTGCTTAAGTGGCAACTGCATTGGCACATCGCTCAGTTGCCTCAGTCCTTGTGAGGAATGCCGCAATGACGCATGTCATGTGAAAGACGGATACTGTGCAATAAACAGATGCTTTACAGATGGAAGCCTAAGACCAGGCCATTCATGTCAGGTAATGAATAAGACCTTGCACAAGTTAGCATTAAATAGAGACTAAAAATGTGCTGTTTCAGTCCTTTTTAGTCTAAAGAAGAGTTACATCGTTGCTCCTGACACGAGCGTCGGAAAAAAGCAGTAATCTATTGTAGGTTCCCGACGGGATTTGAACCCATAACCTTCGGTGAAAGCTCTATGACCAAACTTTCACCTCTTCAAAAAAAGCAGGAGAGAGCAATGTCTTACGTTTTTTTGTCTGTGAGAAATAGCGTTATCCTTCCTTTCCAAGGGTCTAGGATTAGTCATTGACTATAGCCCCCATTAGTAGTATATGGCAAAGATCAAATCAATATCTTTTACGGTTTTTCTCCTAGCAATGCGACAGCAGCAAGAACAAACGTGAATGGACCATCAATGATAACCTGCAATGCAGTGACAATAACGTAACAACTAAGGATGACCGGTGTCTTCATGGAGTATGTAAAGGGACATCTTATAGCTGTCTTGAATGTGAACAACATGATGGACGTGGCTGTCCCATTAAATCAGGATACTGCATTATACTGACTGGAAGCCAGAGAAAATGTTATGCTAAGGAAGAGAAAAAGCCAGGCAATCCTTGTCAGGTAGGCTTCACTTGTTCGCTTACTGAATTAAGTAATTTTTTAACTAATTAATAAAATTTTAAATGGGAACGTCAGCAAAAGTCTAGGTTTTTGTAAAAATTTTTCCATTCTTTTCTCATTAAAGTAGCTGAGCAGACCGAGCTAAGTAAGTTAATCTGTTAGAAAGCAGAAACTGTGGTAACGGACACTTTGGCGGACACCTCTTGAAACTGGATACTTTAGCGGTTAGGTAGGGTTCGACTATACAGTGGAACCCCGCCTTACGGCCGCCTTGGTAATACGGTCACTTTATTATCACGGCCAGTTTTTTTCTGCCCGGCAAAACGGCCATACATTTCCTTATAAAAAAAAACCTGTTAATACGGCCGACGGCCACATTCTAAAATCCCAAGCGGTAGAATCTCTTATGATTTCACCCCGTTAATACAGCCACTAGTTCGAAATTTAGAAAATTAAAATGCCTGTGACATGTCAGTTTTATTAACGTCGCAAAGAGTTTCATGTACTGAAGGAAAATTTTAAGTCGTTTTTTCAATTACTGCATGTACGCGATATCTGCATTATAGTTGTTTGTTAATGAGAATAGTTGTTCAAAAAATGCGAATGCGATGTACGGTGTCATTCCGGGTGTATTTGTCATTACGGCCCTCAAGTCATGAAATTTGAGCCTGCCCCGGTAATACGGCCACCAGGAGCCTATCATGATGGGATCCTGATGGGCTCCTGGGCCACCCCGTCAACACGGCCAAATCTTTTTTGACCCATTGGTGACCGTATTAACGGGGTTGCACTGAATTCTATACTGATAACTGGATGTCTGATTTTTTTAATTACACTGCTGTAACAGAACAGAACTTTTAAGTCAATCATCTGCGTAAACTTGGAAAACCACTAGAACATCAATAGACCCAATTTAATGGCAGCTTTCTTGGCTCTGATGGACTTCAACATATTTATTAGCATTTTTTAACTTTAAGTTGTGTGACCCAGAAGAAAGCACTAGTACCTGGTCAATTATCGAAGGCATAGCATGTGATGACAAGAAGAATTGTACAAAAGGGGACATTTGCAGCGACGGTCAATGTACCGGCACGCTCTTTACATGCAATGGCCCATGTCAGGACTGTAATGGCAATGGCTGCAGTTTGAACACAGGATATGGATTTGTGAGCAACAGGTGCACGTGTAAAATAGCAGGTAGACGTAACTACATACCTTTACAAGTATTTTTGAGTCAAAAGTTTGACATCGCTAAACATATTTTCGCCCCCCCCTCCGTCCGAAGTTATGGGGATCAAAGTTTTTGTCAAGTGATTTTGCAAAGGATCTTTTTGACCTAAACTTAACTATAGCATTTATTTGCATAAGATTGGAAGCTTTGAAAATACTGTAGAGATATGTTACTTAAAACGACAACACAAATCACGAATAATGACGTTCATAGCCATGACCTACATTTTAAATGGCCAGTGTACTTTCAATGAATTAAATTTTCCTTATAGGTCACGACTATGGACACCAAACCCCAAATCCGTCAAACCAGTGTCAGTGGTGTGACCTGCAGGACAAAACAGCTCGTGCTAATAGTGCCTGGTCAAACCGTCCTGCAGTAGCTTGTGACGATCAAGATACTTGCACCAAGCAGGACACTTGTAATGCTGGCAGGTGAGTATATTATTGTTAGAACGCATAAAAGTAAATATATCGTTTTTTCCACTCTCTTGGAGATAACTGAATTGATAAGCGGTTACAACTAACAAGTAAAAAAGTTCTCTGATCTCTTAGTTCTTATGAACTTACTCAATGGTCGAGAAGAACCAGGTCTAAGGTTATAAGGATTAGTTCTTTGTACAGCAGTGGACACCAAGTACGATAATGGATGGTCCTGGGTGTCTGTCATCTCAGCCATGAATTTATGACATAGGAGCTCAAATCTGTTAGAAAGTGTAGTTTCGTTGGCTAGCGACAGTGCTTGACTGTACGAACTGTTACGATATATGATGTTAAGAGCCCTTTTTTGCACGGACTCTATTCTATCCGACAGATAGTCAGGAATGTCTTGCCACAACTGCAGGGTATATTTTAAAATCGGTCCAACACTACTTCGAGAGACTTTCAACATGTCTTGTTCTTCCACGCCATCTCTCCTTAATAGTCTGACAGCGTAAAGTTTCTTTGATGCCTTAGAGGTAATATAGTCAACATGGCAGTTCCATTTCAAGTGCTCATTAATGATTACTCCAAGCAATTTGTATGATGAAATTCTTGTTACCATTTGGTTTCTTATATACAAAGTTCACGACCATCTCCTTACAGTTTTTTGGGTTTAGCCTCATACTGTGTTCTATACAATAATTATGTACATCTGTAACAGCAAAATCCAATAGCCAGGCTACTCCAGTTACGTGGTATTATTTCAAAAACGGTCGTGTCATCAACATACTTCAATCTTGAGTGCCAATCACCAAGTAGTCTAACATAAATGATACCGAATCTCCTTTATAACGAATATCGACAAATAGATTTAATTTTGCCGTGTTGCCAGTCAACTATAGATTACAGATGGTAAAAAAAGTGTCCGTACTCTGTTGCGAAATAGGCCACGAGCATTTTGGCCCGCTTGGTTTTCATTTCATTGTATAAAAGACGATGTACTATGCAAGCGTATTTACTGCATTCAAAATACGCCGTACCGCGTACATTTTTTCCCATCAAATCCGAATAATAACTGGACTGCTTTTACTCGGACTCGAAAACAAATCGGGTCTGAATTGCAGTCAGATGGGATCGCAAAACAGATCGATCTTGCGATAGTAAGAATTTTTATTCAGCTTGAATTGTTAGTATTGTACAAGAAGTACAGTTAGTATAGTACAAGAAGATACCCAGAGCTGAGAGGCTTTGCGCCCTTTTTAATAGATCCGAAATTGGTGATGAATTCCACTATTTGTTGAAATGTACTCGCTCATCACTTTCTCGTATAAGGGGTATCTTCTTGGAGAGCCTATACTCGATAAACAGTAATTTTACGAATTTGTCTTGCAAGGCACTATTTTTATATATCATGTCTATGTGCGATGAAAATATCATAAATCTTAGTGCCTCATATTGAAAATATTCTAAATTGTTAAAAATCCGAACCCTAATGAAACTTTCTTACCATACAAGTAGCGTAGAACATGGTAGAAGCTGTACATAGCCAAGTAATTTTTCTTTTATGATAATATTCGATATGAAGTTTTTTTCCCTTTCTTTCTTACTTAACTTTTATTTAAGTTTGTTTCATTTGTCATTGTTTTGGTACTGAAATCTTCATGTCGAAGATAAAGTCAATAAAGTTGTTGTAGATTGTTTCAGTCATCCTCTTCTGGAAATAGAAGCAAAAGCGGCCGTAGTACTCCATAACTCTATTTTGAAACGCTTATCGATGAATGGTAAACAATAAAACAGGTAGAGATTATTTAGTTCTAAAAATGGTTTTCCAAGTCAGTATCTTTCTATATTGTAGTCAAAGTTTACAATCTATCTGGTAACTCCAGGTGTCTAGGACAAGGTTACTCCTGTCAACGTTTCTTCAACTCCTCAAGTTGTATCCAGACTTCCGAGTGTGTTGGTGATGGTACATGCCGATTTAAAATGAGGTTGAATGGAACAATATGTTGTGCAGCTGTAGACATTTGTGACCAGCCAGAGAGGTATGTAGAATGAAGAAAAACGACGTCTAATTTTTCATCACGAAACTAACTAATACTCTTCACCTCCGAGCTCCCGTTTGCGTTGCATTTATTCGTCTTGCAATTCTGTGACAGAGATATTGACTTCAATGGTCTACCTAGATTTTCCGAAGTACACATTAAAAAGTGGAGGAAATAATTGACCGATAAATTTTATAATGTGTAATTTGGATAAATCAAATGACAGTTTACATACCCTGACCCTAAGATTTTCCGAATTTTGATTATGTATATTTTTTAAGGTGTAATGGGGTCCATGGAAAATGTCCTGGAGCAGTGATAGATAGAATTGAGTTACAAATGGGCCAAGTGCAGTTCATGGACTCCACGTTTCAATCGCTTGTCACTCACCAATATTTTACCGACAAGGTGTTTTTGGACATATCTGGATTCTCTGTATCGTGTGGAGAGATGCATCTTACATGGTTCCTTCTTTCTGGAATGTCATCTTGTTCTATAAATACAAATATCAGCGGTTCTTTGCCAGGAATCAGCAAGCATCACACTGTAACTGGATTGGCATTAGAAGACAATAGAACCCACAAATTTGCCTTGAAAGCGTCTGACATGCGACACAAAGCATATAAAGTAGTGTGCACTGGTGTATTAGTCGTGGATACATCGAGACCGCAAGGTGGGTGGATTCGTGATGGACCTGCAAGTGACCGGAGTTACCAAGCTTCCAAATTATTGCAGGTAAACTGGGGTGGAGTACTAACAAGACACGGTGTTGGCAATTACGACTGGAACGTTCTCTTAATCCCTTTTAACACTAATCAGACCATCGAACTTATGACTTTTACGAACGTTTATCAGAACACTAGCGCACAAAAAACATTCGACAACATCACAGACGGCTCAAAAGTGAAATTCGTTGTTCGTGCTTACACCAAAGCGGGACTGTTTTCAGACCTCACGAGTAACGGCGTTGTGATCGACACGTCAGTACCTGTTGCAGGAAAGGTCTATGATGGTGATCAAGTTGGTTTAGATTTAAAATTTGCTCAATGGTCGAATACCTTCAATGCAAACTGGGACCGCTTTATTGATCCCCATTCTCCCATTTCGCGTTACACTTGGGCGGTGCAGCGACTAGGCACTGGTTTAATTACCTCATTTAAGGTTACAGCACTTAACCGCGCTCCTACAGCAACTAACCTTAACCTAGTTTCCGGCGAGAGCTACTGCGCAGTTGTCAGAGGCTATAACGAGGCTGGTCTTTACACCCAAGTCAACTCAGATTGTGTGTTGATAGACCACGATGTACCGCTAGCTGGTACTGTAAATGATGGACACTTCCATGATGTAGACTACCAATCGGAAGACACCGTGATAGCAGCTAATTGGCATGGTTTTACTGATGGGAGTAAAGGAAGTGGAATTGTGGAGTACAGATGCAAAGTCACAGAAGACGGTGGAGCTATAATTGTTCCCTGGACATCTGCTGGCAATGCCACTAACATAACGCTTAACGGGTTGGTTCTAAAGAATAATACAAAGTACTTCGTTACCGTTAAAGCAGTCGATGCAGTAGGACTTAGCACTGACATCACTTCGGATGGTGTTACTGTAGACACAACACATCCTGTTTTCACAGGAAAAGTGATCGTAACCGGAGAAGATGACATGATAAATGGAACTCCTTGCGTTTACATTTCAAGTGTATCCTCAGTAACTGTGCAGTGGAATGGTTTCTCTGACGCGCACAGTGGACTTCAGCGATATGAATGGGCGATTTTCCCCTCAGAAAAGTCTTTCTCAAACTCTGACTTCAAAGAAGTATCTGGATCCAGTCTGCCGACATTTGCAACATTTTACAATCTAACGCTTATTCAAGGAACGGGGTACTATATCATCATACGAGCCTATAATGGCGCCAAACTGTATAAAGACGCGTTCTCAGTCCTTGTGATACCCGACTCCACCCCTCCATCCCCTGGAGAGGTGTTCGACGGACCAACATTTAAAGTAGATATTGACTATCAGGCTGAGATTCAACGTGTTTATGGGTCTTGGTCAAGTTTCTCTGAGCCTCACAGTGCAGTCAAGCAGTACTACTATGCCGTGGGAAGCTGTATGTTTGGAAACTATCATATTACTGGAAACGGATTCACTAAAATCGACCCTCCAACGGCTTCTTCATTTTTGATTTCGAACGTTTCACTTGTTAATGGCCAGCGATATTGCATCAAGATTAAGGCTGAAAACAAAGCTGGGCTGATGAGTTACGAAGTGTCATCAAATGGGTTTGTCGTTGACGTAACACCTCCAAACACTCGGAAAGCTCAAGTGCGTGACGGAATCACGGGTGCAGATATAGATTATCAAGCTAATACCACAGCAATGTCAGCTGAATGGGATGATTTTGCTGACCTTGAGTCTCAGATCCATTATTATGAATATGGAGTAAGCAGAAATCGTGCTGGCAAACCTAATGTCTATCCATTAACAATTAATGGCCTTAACACTTCAGCGACTGCGGGTGGCTTATCGCTGACTGATGATGTCTACTACTTCATAGTTTGTGCTGTAAACAATGCGGGGTTACGAAGCTGCATTAGCTCTGATGGAGTACTTATCGATTTGACTCCTCCAAGCCATGGTGTAGTACATGACGGCATCATTGAGCCAGATCTCCAGTATCAGTCCTCTCTATCAAGTATGGCTGCCAACTGGGAAGGAATTTGGGACTTGGAGAGTGGTATTGAGAAGTTTGAGTGGAGTATTGGAACCAGTGCAAATGATAAGAGCAGTGTTCAAGACTATGTCGATGTTGGTCTCTCTACTCACGTTAGAAGTCAAGTGCCTCTTAACTTATCAAGTGGGACAAAGTATTATGTTCATCTTAAGGTAATCAATCAAGCAGGAGCCGTCAGAGAACTTATTTCAGACGGCGTGATTGCAGATGGGACGCCACCAATACCTAACAAAATCCATCCAGGATTTGGGTTCCAAGATGAGTGGATATACAGTGAAGAAGAGAATGCCTTCTACTCTGCTTCGGGCTCAAGCATCGCTTTTTACTGGCACCAGTTCTCGGAACCTGAAAGTGAGGTCTGGTACTATAAATGGGCCATAGGTACAAGCAAATGCGGTACTCAAGTCCAACCACTTATTAACATAGGCCGGTCAAACTACGCTAACACCACAACGACGAACCTCGTATTTAGACCTGGCGTGAGATATTATGCCACCGTGATGTCAAGAAACAAAGCTGGCCTAGTGTCAAGGGCATGCTCTGATGCGCTTGTCTTTGACAGCACTCCACCGCTTCCAGGAATTATTCACATAAAACAACCGCCAGGAAGCAATATAACTAAAACTTTCATCACTAACAACAGTGCGGCTATTTATTGGGAAGGATCTAGTGACCCAGAGAGTGCAATACTACGATGCAATATTTCCGTCGTTGACCAAGCTGGCGACGTTAAGTTCATGGAAACTTCCAATTCAACTTCTGGATTTATGATAATACCTGAAAACGTCCTCTGCGTACGTGGTCAATACAATATTAGCGCATGTTGCGTCAACAATGCAAATCTTGCTTCCTTGTCAAGCTCAGTGTTTATCGTTGACGACACGCCGCCAGTTCAGTCTGGTCCTGTTGTAACGGGCATATCATGCGATGGTGCTTTACATTATCAGTCCGATGATAAATCTATTAAAGTATCCTGGCCATCGTTCACAGACCCTGAAAGCGGTATAGAAAGATATTATGTGGCAATTGGCACACAACCTTACCAAGACGATATCATTGGTTTTGAAAACGTGTACCTCTCTACTCGCATAAACAAGACCGATCTGACTCTTTCTCAAGGCGCTCTATACTACATCACTGTTGTTGCAGTAAATCGTGCTGGATTGAGTACGAACTTATCATCCCTAGGCCTTTTGATAGACAAAACGCCCCCTCTTGCCTACAATGCTGATATCATAGATGGTATGCATGGTGAAGATATCGACTATATCTCTCCTGATACTGTACTATCAGCCCACTGGGAAAAGATAGCAGATCTCGAAAGCGGTATTATGCAAAGTCAATATTGTGTAGGAACCACACCACTTGGTTGCCAAATAAAACCAATGACCAGTGTCGGTAGAAATTTGTCTTTTACTTGTCCTGATTGCATCATTAAAGAAGGGATGAGATTGTATGTAACAGTGCAGGTGACAAATGGTGCTGGTCTAAGTGAGACACGACACTCTGATGGAATGTTGTTGGATGTTAGTCCTCCGCTAATGGGCGATGTTCATGATGGAAGTCATGAAACTGGAATGGACTCCAATGTTGTTCTTGAGGAATGGAATATATCTATGACTTGGTTTGGGGTGGAAGATTATGAAAGTGGCATACGATCTTGCAAATGGACCATTGAAAGTAACAGTGGAAGCATATTTCATACAGATGGCATCAGCAACAACTCCATTTATGAAGAACGAAATTTTTTCTCACTGAATCGGACATACAAAAATCTCTTTGTCATTACTAACGCGACTTACTTCAATGTATTGACCTGCATCAACAGAGCAGGTTTACAATCCACCGTGCGTTCTAATGGCTTCCATGTAAGGACCATTTGGCCTATCCCAGCTGTTGTAAGAGATGGTGCAACCCAAGGCAAAGACTCAACTTATCTAACAAGTTCCAAAATCGTAAGTGCCAATTGGGATCCATTTTTGGACGATGAAAGCGATCCTGTTGTCGATTACGAGTTAGCTGTCGGGACAGTGAGAGACAAAGAGAGTGTCCTTGGCTTCACTAGTGTAGGGTTGGGGAGGATTGCTGAAATAGACTTGGCTCCAGGCATTCCAGATCTTGAAGTGTTAGAGACTGGTGTAACGTACTACATCACCATAAAGGCGATCTCTTTGCGTGGCCTTAGTTCTATGAAGCGCTCTAATGGCTTTACTGTAGACCCTAGCCCGCCAATGCAAAAGGAACTTTTTGTGTCACACAAGGTGATCGATCAGATTGCACGGATAATTGAGATCAGTGTTTCTTGGAATGGTGTCAGGGATAGCGAAAGTGGCATTAGTAACAGTGAGTATTGTCTAGGTACAACACCTGGCAGTTGCCAAAGAGACTCTATTCCAGCGGGTCTTTCTACCTTTGGAACCATTGGTCCCTTTAGGCCTTATCCATGGGTTCATTATTACGTCATCGTCGCGGTTACTAATGGAGCTGGTCTGATAACAGTGATGTCCTCAAGGAAGTTATTTTTTGACACCACTCCTCCATCCAAGGGTATTGTTATCGATGGTATCGGTCCTGACATTGATTACATGAATTATACGAGCTCTTTGTCGATTCAGTGGAAAGGGATTGATGACCAAGAATCAGGTATTGCAAATTGTTCATGGACTCTCATTGAACAGTCTGCTTCTGATAAGAGAACTGCATTTGAAAATGATACTGTTGTGTTAACACAACCCGTGGAAAGCAAAGGAAGCCTCACGCGTGAGAATCTCAGTCTGATACCAGGCGCCCGTTACGTCAGCAAGATCGCGTGCTCCAATAAGGACGGTTTTATCTCCACGTCCTTCTCTGATGGTGTTGTTGTAGACGCTACTTCGCCAAGTGCTGTTCTTGTGCGAGACGGTTCATCTCTATCAACTGACGTGGAATATCAGTCATCGACAACGGTAGTAGAGGCAATATGGAGTCCCTTTGAAGATCATGAAAGTGGGATCAGCGAATACAGGTGGGGGTTAGGAACAATGCCTGATGATGTTAGCATCGTGAAATTTACTTCTACTGGAAAGGACACAACGGGAAGAGCAAGGAACGTCACTCTTTCCCATGGCGTAAGGTATTACGTTACTGTGGAAGCTACAAATGGTGCCGGGATGACGTCACATGGTTGGTCTAGTGGGTTTACTGTTGATGTAACTCCTCCTAAGATCACTGAGGTAAATAAAACTCAGAAATATATTTTTACTACATATAGGGGCAAAACAAATCGAAGATATTTAAAACAATGATTATTCTATCTAACACTAAAATCAAACCTATGCCTGGCAGAACTACCTTTGCTGACCAGTAATAACATTTGTGCCTGTTTATTATGCAGGAATCAGCTGGTTCAGAACTTTGGATTGGTCCAAAAGATCATCTGCACGCTACGTGGATGGCGCAAGATCTCGAAAGTGATATTAGCAAGACCGAGTATTGCGTTGGAACGTTACCAGTAGGATGTCAAATAAAGTCCATGACCGAAGTATTACCGAACTCAACAGAAGTATCTTGCAAAGACTGCCGCCTTAATCATTATGGGACGTACTTTGTCAGCATTAGAGTAACTAATGGTGCCGGGCTTTCTACTGTGACAGCAACAAACGAAACGAAAGTTGATATGACTGCCCCTGTCCTCTATGATGTAGTTCCCCAGTTTGGCTTTATATCTTGCATTGCGAGTTGTAACTTGGTTGTAAATATTACTGGTGTCCGAGACGAAGAAAGTGGTGTCCGATCCTGCAGCTATGCCGTCAAAAACAGTAGTTTTACGATAACGGACTTTGTTGATATTGGACTGAACACAACCTTGGAAGCTACAGATCTAGAGCTGATGAATGGGCAACAGTATTACACTGTGGTGAGATGTGAAAACAATGTTGGACTTACCACTGAGAGAGTCTCTTCTCCTGTTGTTGTTGACAACACACCTCCTTCAAAGGTATGCAATCTTCCTCACATTTGAAAAAGTTATATTTTATCGATTAGCGGAAAGGAAAATAAAGTGATTGTTACTGTGCACCTAATTTCAGTTTAGGCTTCTTGCCTGATGGAGGCGGAAAAATAAACTGCCGTTGAAAAACACGTAGTAATCCTTCATGTTGTACCAGTTTGTCCCAAATGGTTAACACGTCGTCGGGTTTGAGTTATTTCACTACTTCAAGTTTTTTAGCGTCCCTGGTCAGTTTCTTAACGTCTTGCTAGTATTTTATAGGATTCAACGCTCTTAAAACCCGACAATGAAGGAAGAAAGGCGATATATGGAAAGTATTATCGTTTTAGGCCCGTTTCAAACGTTGTGCTACTGCCGTGTCGAACTCAATTGATCGAATTAAATTCGTCTTAAGCACCGCAGTAGTGCGACGTTTGAAACCAAGTTGTGCTACTGCCGTGTAGCACGGCAAGCCTCGCCGCGCTAAACGGCAGTAGCTCGACTTGGTTTCAAACGTCGTGCTACCGCAGTGCCGAACTCAATTCATAAATTATAAATACATTAGAATACATTTAAAAGTTTGCTAAACCGTTTCTTTATTTTTGTGGTTTGTTTTCGGCAACAGCCGTTCTATTCGACTGAATTAAATTCGACGTCTGAAACTAAGAAGTCGTGCTAGTGTCGTGCTGCAGTCGAGCTACAGTCGAGCCAGCTTAGCACGGCAGTAGCATGACGTTTGAAACAGGCCTTAGAATGTCAAAATAGCAACTAGGAAGTACGTGAAATATCCTGTAGACCATAGAAACCTGGAATAAAATGAGTGAACAAGGCTTCAATCTTTTTTAGCATATACTAAAACAGTGGATAGTGTTTTTCGCGCGCTCTGATTGGCTACTCAATCAGGGAATATCCTGCACTATTCACTGGTTCACCTCCTGTTCCTCAAAGCAAGCGTCGCCAAACTCGCGTAAGTTGCGAGCAAAATACCTTCCGGTTTGCTGCCGTAACAAACAAAGAAATTTCACAAAGTAAGCTCTTCCCGAAATACAGGAAGAGGGTGACGAAGTTCGGTTGAGAAGTTTTAACAGGCAAAGTTTTGTGTTTTTGACTTGAATTTATCAATGAAACCGGTGAAAAAGGTTTTTGTTTACAAATGCAAATTTAGCTTAAGTGTTGCGTTACTTTATTTAGTTCACTTGGTCACAAATAAACTTAAAACTAAATTTAATAATCTTTTTTACAGAATGATTTTAAATACAAGAAGAATTCACAACTCCTTTTGAAGAAATTTCCACGCTATAGCGAAGCAAATGCCTTCAAAAGTTTTTTTTGTCGGCAAGAAAAATCGACGGCCGCGGTCGTTCGGTCATTACGCGCCAAAATTGTAATCTTTGCAACATTAAATGAGTTAAAAATCATCATTTTTGTGCTCAGTTATCTCACTGTTTTGGTATATACTAAAACAATTATTCAACTCAGTGTCAGTGGCTAGTGGTGGATATTTACCTCGCCGTTTCGCGGGGCGGTAAATACAACACCACTAGCCACCTCCACTTCACTGAATAATTGCTATTTGTCCCCCACTTTACTGAGAACGCTTAAGTCTATAAGAGCTGGAAAGAAGATAGTCGAACGCGCGTGAAAATCGTTACCCTCTAGGAAGGGAACGCGCGTGTTTTTCTCCCTTTACTACAGTTTCGAAAATTAAACGAGGCTACTCGTAGACCTTCAATCTCAGCTGGCTGATGCACCAACAAATATGAATCGGATTTGGAAGCAGCAAACGTGTTCGTAGTTTGAAAAAACAGCTGACATTTCGCGACACCACTGGTTTCCTCGAGAAATGACGACTGAGGTATGACTGCCAAAACTCACCTCCCATCCGGATCCGGGTAGTGCTTCTGATTGGTTGAAGCAAATTTCCCTCGCAGCGCAGACCCATCAGAAGCTCTACCCAGGTCTGGGTGGTGAGTTTTCATTCGAGTATGGAACTTCAGCTGCAGTTATTGGCGTTCCACAGACGTCATTTCGCGGGGAAAAGAGTGGTGGCATCTCGAAATGTCAGCTGTTTTCTCAGGCTAACGTGTTTGGTTTAATGTTCCTTCCCATTTATCCTTCTATCATGACCTTCAAACTTATTGTACATTGCACCCAAATAAGAGACAAAAAGGGACAAACACACTTTACCTCAATTTTACAGGGCTCGGTGATTGTGAGTGAAGACCGTACGCATGACGTTTTTGGCATACATTCCAGTTGTCATCTGTTTAACAAAACACTGCGGGCTCATTGGTACGGTTTTAACGACAATGAATCGGAAATCAGTGACTTTCGAGTAGCAGTTGGTAGACAGCCCAACGCGACCGACGTCTTGCAGTTCCAAAAAGTTGGTTTGGTTACAGACGTTTATCTGCCTTTAACCAACATTACATTTGATGGCGACATCGTCTATGTGACAGTAGAGTCACGCAATTCGGCTGGTTTGGTAACGCGTAGTTCGTCACCTGCTACACGGCTAGTTGCTGCCGATAGCGACGAGTACATTAAACAGGGAGATTTTTACTGTCTGAACGTTTAAGAAAAACTGATTATCGCTAAAATTTCTTATGCGACAAAACTGTAATGTAACTTCTTTTATCGTCTCAAAGATTTCTTGTAGGGACACCTGGAGTGATTTCCTTTAATTAATGGAAACTAGCTATTCACAACAGACTCAAGAAGGGTGATAATGCTATTTGATTGGTTTTTAGGCGAGCAAAAAGGGGTGGGGCGGGGTCTTCTAAGAATCAAAAACTTAAATTTTGAGATAGACCAACAATGCCTCTCTCTGCGGCGGAATTGTTTGATGAGATCTGGCCTGCTTTGTTAATTGGTTAGCTTTTGCTGAAGGTGTCTACCTCTAACCAGTAGAAGATTAGGTCGTTTTAGTTAGCAAAATAATTTAAGTACCGTAAAATTCCGAAAATAAGCCCCGGGACTTATATTTTTCAAAGACCCTTTCTGAGGGGCTTATATTCTGAGGGCTTATCTACGGAGGGAAATTTGCGTTTCAAAATCGATTGGGCTAGCCTTGTAGTTGGAAGGAAATTTATCGTTTTTGCTTTCTTTTACTTTGTAAAGTTGAGGGCACTTTCCAAGTACAAGCTCCCGGGGGGCTTATATTTGGAGGGGCGATTTAACGGAGGGCAATTTGCGTTACGTGTTTGGGGGGCTTATATTTGGAGAAAATTATACATAGAAGGGTTTATTTTCGGAATTCTACGGTAACCGGGGCGTTGATCCTCAATAGATTACAATGGTAGAGAACTTTTGAAAGACCCTGCGTTGCTTTTTACAACCAAGCACTACATAGGGTGTAAGGGTGAAAAATTGTCTCTTCTTGAACGTAGATGATAACAAACTGTTTAACGAGGAGTCTGGACAAAGACTGATAGGGGAACCACTTCTCCTCATACTTTCCAGCTTCCCCCGTAACCCTCTCGTATGATATAATGTTTTTATTAAAGCATTTATTGCATTAAAAGTCAAGTAAGTAGTAAACGGAAACGATTCTGGAGCTTTCGACATTTTATCGCCGTTGAAACGAACAGATTTGGTATAGAACGCTGCCTATGAATTTTCAAGCCTAGAAATAGAATAAAGAAAAAGCAGTCATGAATGTTTTGTGTTTACATAGGGTAAGATGACTCTTTCGATCTTAAGTGGGCTACTGTACTCCTCGACTATGAACGAGGCCCCTAAACGTATGTGGTCATAGTTAGGCTTTCACTATTACTTATTTAGTATATTCAGCAAAAACTTAAACTTTTTTGTGTTTCTTTATATTTACTATGATGTCACGGTCAATTCTTTTCACTTAATGTTTTTATGTTTTCCTATATTTTGTTTTGTGTGGATCTGCGTGTAGAATAAAAAAATAAAAAAAAAGTAAAAAAAAAACAAACAAAAAACCTCGAATGTTAAATGCTTTTCTGGTTGGCGTCTTTTGAAGTATTACTACATTACAAGTAAATAAAGCTGACAATATAAATGTGTTTAAGGTTCCTGTAATTAAAAATTGGAGATAGTTCTATCTTGCCTTCCCATCAACGGCTCATTAGCTCTGTGCATGAGTGCAAGTGAGCAATCTCGCAAAGGGAAGCCACAGAAAAAAGACTAATAACATTTATAACACATTTCGTCCATGAAAACAGCTATAGGCTCTGGAGACAAGATATAATTCGAATGTTCCAAAGAGGTGAAATTATTTCTGGGAAAAAAAATGCGCATTCTTCTGGAAATGCCATCCAAAAAGGACACGTAGGCTAGATTTCCTCCGTAGGCTTGATTTCCACTGTCGTGTAATTTTTCCGTGCGAACGCACGTAAAATTTATGCGCGTAAATGAAATAGAGGCAATATCAGTGAAAGGCCACGCGTGAACGTGCATGAGGTTCAACTTTTATTTAAGTGCGTACGCACGTAAAAATTACGCGACTGTGGATATCCACCTATATTCCTAAAATAAGTCCAAAATATCAAGGATGAAGCCACGCCCAAACACTAAAGCGCACCGTTTTCCTATCCTTGATTTAGGGGCGAGGGCCGGGAGTGCGGTCTTATTATAAATTCATTGCTCAAGATTGTTGTTAGGTAATAAGGGAAATTCAGTCAGCGGCTCTTCAATTCTTTTTGTAAATTTTGCTACGATTTCGCCCGTAGTAAGAGAAAAAGAAAACCCTTACAAGCTCTCTATAACACATTCAAAACACATTTAAGGTGGCCCGAACCTATTTATATGCGTGTTGGTTATGTTTTTGATTTGCATTTTTCAGAATGAAAGATTCAACCAATTTCTATGATTTTTGGCATCCTTAATAAATAATAAAAAGCTATCTTGCTCGGCACTAAGAAGCTGTTCACACTTGGTTCTCGGGAACAAGTGCCTAGATACTGGCACAAAATGATTTTGAGTACCGGATATGTAACTGTGTCATAGTTACTCCATTTCCTTCAGCAAACGACGTAATAGATGTATGCTAGATTTTATTTAACAAAACACGCATCGTTGCAACTTTCTTCTTTCAACGGACGACCGCCGCATTTGAACTTTTTTTTATAGAACGTATCTACACTTCAGATATCTTGTTTCAGAAAAGACAAAAGCTAAAAATACGTGCATTGCGGACAGACTTAATTGACAGCTAGTCATTCGCAGTTGCGTTATTTTTGCATACATAATTAGTAGGAAGGATGGCGAAAACAATGGTTTGCTAAACTCCCTTTCCCTTCCCTTTCAAATGCCTGCCACGCAGGCTAGCCTTCATGGCCTGCGAACCGCAGACGTATTTCCGGTCGTCGCTTCACTCCCCTCCCTCTGGAGGGAGAGAAGCGACGACCGGAAATATCGTGAAAAGTGGAAGCGCGTTCTCGACGTTCTCGCGTCGCTCGCGTGTTCTCGCGCGGCTCGCTTTGCTCGCCCAAATAGGAGAGCTTGCAATTGCTCGCAGGCCAAGGTTCTGTCGATGTCTTCAGACGGGGAAGGTTGCAGAGATTTGCGACCTTTGATTCGCTCTCGGTGCAAAGGCGTCTTGAAGCAAGATAACGAATGGAAAGGAGAACTATCGTGTGTTACCTAGGCGGAATTTGGAGGCGATTGGAGTAGTTGGAGCGAGCGAATTTACGGCCGTTTTCCTCCGGTGGATCAGTCAGGCCGCTTCGCTGGAGTCCCCAACCTTGGTAAACCTTTATATACCTTTATGTGGAGAGTTAACCGTTGACATAAAAATCCATATATAAAACGGCCATAAATCGGCCCGTGGATCACACAGGAGAGACGTGACACACATTTTAAGTAAGGTAAGCTGTTTTTTATTGAAATCCTTTCATTTTCGTAGGTCACAGAAACGATAGGTTTTTTTCCCATACAAATCCTTATATTTCGAATGTTACGCAACAATACCGATGTTCGCCGATGCTCATATTTCGAGCTTGGGCTAAAGTCAAGACCAGGTCGAGACCATGTAATTTGTTACCGGGTACCTGTGTGCACATATTTTTTGTTAATTTTAACCCATTCGCTCCTGGAGATTTTGCCGAAAAACGCGTTTTGAAGCTAGTCGAGTGGTTTTCTGGTCACTGTCGTGCTATAAAGAGCTAAAACTTACCACAAACCGGTTTACAGGTCGTACACTTGGCGGCCTTCTGATCCAGATGCAAAATATCAGCTTACGAAGTTCGGGCATGCGCAGAAAGCAAAATTTCGACATACTTCATTACTTTCCGCTTTCTCTCCTCCCTTCTTTTTTCGCTTTTCTTGCCTCATTTTTTTTTTCTCTTGCTGGGCATTTAGTAGGCTTCATTTTGGTGGGAAGAGTTTTTAGGAAAGCTTTTAGGATCTTAGGATTAGGTGAAAGGAAAGGTAGGTGGGTAATGGAACAAGATTTTCATGGAGATTTTCAGGTCCTTGTCACGTGGTTTTTTGCTTCTTTCTCCGGTGTCCTTGACTGAATTGTGCTCATTCTGGTATGGTTTGAAAGATCTCTTCACCCTGCACAAGTTAGCGAAGAAAGTTGTCCTTGACCGTTAAAACTGATGACGTCACAAAGGGTAGAAAGGACCTGGATCCGCACGGGTGGTTACGGGCGGTTCAGGGGCGAATGGGTTAATTAAAATTGTTATAACTCCCTGCTTCGCAAAAGGTTTAATATGGCTTCAGACAGGGCGAAATGGGGCAAATATCCAAAAAATGCACTTTAATTGCGTATGGTGTCAATGTATTTAGCACAAAAGTACTCATTTTTGACGTCTCCTTCGGGAGACGCGGACCGCTATTTTACATTAGCGATCTTTCGTGTTTTGCCACAGGTAGCCCAAGCTCGAAATATGAGCATCGGCGAGCATCGGCATTGTTGCGTAACATTCAAAATATAAGGATTTGTATGGGAAAAAAACCTTTCGTTTCTGTAACCTACGAAAATGAAAGGATAACAGCTTACCTCACTTAAAATGTGTGTTACGTCTCTCCTGTGTGGTCCACGGGCCGATTTATGGCCGTTTTATCGGTTTTTATGTAAACGGTTTTCTCTCTATATAAAGGTTTACCAACCTTGGTAAACCTTATATAGACAGAAAACCGTTTAAATAAAAACGGTAGGTTTTTTTTTTCCCATACAAATCCTTATATTTTGAATGTTACGCAACAATGCCGATGCTCGCCGATGCTCATATTTCGGGCTTGGGCTACCTGTGGTTTTGCGGGATCTAATTTTTTTGCGATTAGAATAGATTGGTTTCTCTTCCTGGGAACTAATTTTTGCGATTTTCAGAAAGTAACATTAATAATATTTTCGTTTTCATTGAGTACTTGCAACAGAATTACATTGTACTATTTCCAAACAATACTACGGTGAGCCCACCCTATGTAAAATCATGCAGTATTTCATTGTATACCGTTTTGTTTCCAAACGAAAGAGACAAGTTGTAATTGAACAGTATTTTTGTGTAGCGGTTTTTATATAAGTTGGAGAATATTTTCTCTGGTTAAGTTTTGGCGTTAAAAAGTGTTTGCAATGATTTTCATTTGCGGGAACTGCTGGAAAAATCATAAAAAGCCCCCCAAATTAGAACCCTAACAAATTTCGTGCCACATGGTATTTTTATTGATCCGATCTCAGGAATCGAACCCGGGATCGAACCCACGACATACCGATCGAAAGGCAAGCGCTCGCTCCAAGACAGACGTGGATGCCATGGATTCCGGATTCTAGGTACAGTTGTACTAGATTTCAGTCTTTGTCAGTAAAATTTGGATTCTGGATTCTATCGTTCGTGAGGTCCCAAAGCTTAGGATTCCGGATTCCACAAGCAAAAAAGATTTTTTTATTCGGGAATCAGGATTCCCGTGCATGCTCTCCCGACTGACCACACATGATTTTGTACCGGGACGCTAGACTTCATGGTTTTCTGGGATAACACTTATTTCTATGCTTCTTTTAGCTGTCAAAGATTTCCTCATAAAGATATAAGAAAAAAACTTTCTTGTCCCTCCCCTTTTTCCCTTCCTCCCTATCCCCTACCCGCTACCCCTTTCGACGCCTGCTACGCAGGCTAGTTGCGATCGATCCACTCGGCCGTGACTCAGTGAGCGTTACCCGACGATGACGTCACACCTTCTTTGCATAGCTGAGTTGTGCCGATCGTATCCAAAGGAAACGGTTGAACATGTTTTAGTGAAGCCGGGAAACTGGAGAAGTCTATCTTGTCTGGAAATCATACTGGCACATTTATAACAGGTACGGCTTGTAGTGCATCATTTTCTTTGTATCTCAATGTCTGTTTCGCGAGAGAAGGGGTTTGTTTGAATACAGGTATCCGCTAGCCACCAGTACTTAACGTATACACAACCACTTTAGATTTGACGTGTTCTTAATATAAGATCTGAACTTGGAATAATAGCTTGATTTGGTAGTGGAAACTTGCACGGCAATCATAAATCTCCCCGCTGTGGAGAGAAAAACTCAGTCTCGGTCAGCAATAATCAAGCGCGTTGTTTCGCGCGCGATTCAAGACATACAGCGCTGTCAGATAAAATAGTTGATACTGCAAGATACGGAGCAGCTGCTTAAAAAATAATGCTTTCTGCTTCGTATTCAATAGAAATTTCCTCGTTGGTATTTGTAATTCCACAACTTTTGATGTCTCTGCATTACATTTCAGCAGTTGGAGGTTGTTACAAATATTATTAAGGGTTTACTGTGAACTTGTTAGTACAAATTTTGTTGTGTCTACAAGGAAAACTTCAGGTAACAAAATAAACAATTGACTTTCAGTATGATGTACATGTACAGGCGTAAAATGAAGCTGTAAAATTTTAAATCTGATTTCCCCTTCTGTTCTGTGTCTAGATATTAAATTCATCAGCTCAATCGGATGTAGATGGGACATCACAGAACAGCGTGTTTGGGTCCAATGTAAACTCTGGATCATGCGTCTTCACAATAGAAAATGATGATATTCCAGAAGTCAATGAAACATTTACTGTTCAGTTGGTTCCAGAAAATATCCATACCCCACGGATGGTTAATGGAAATTCCTAGGGGGTGGGGGGGCTAAAGGGTAGAATTTTCCGAGGGGTACAGGGGGTGCCCACGAGAATAATTTTCCACAGGGTTGTAAAAGTTGCGATCGATCATACGAGACATACTTAAGTATATGTGGATTATTTTGATTTGTAGCACAACAAAAATTAGAAGTAGATGCCCTTTTGAGAAAAAAATCTTCAAGATGTTTGTCTCAAACGTCGATCGTCTTCTTTGCTGGGAGTTCGCTATCATCTCCGCTCTAACGATTTGTCCACACGCTCTAACGATTTGTTCTAACGCTCTAACGGATTGCTTTTACGATCTAACGGTTGATTCTAAAAAGCTAACGGTCGGTCCGTCCAACGTTTGACTTTGACGAATTCTTTAAATAAATATCGTCCTTCGGGCAAATCGATCGCAATTCTAAACAGGTTACTTCTCCGGGAATAAATTCTAGCGCATCGATTAATAATAATTTCTTTATGTCGAACATGTATCTAGATTGTGGACTCGACTGCAGATAGTCTGACAAAAACTTACGCTAATCGAGAACAAACGTCGTCTAACTCGGCGATATATTTCTCGAGCTTTGTGTAAACAACTTTATGCAAATTTCTGTTGAGATTCAGTGAGCAGTGAGCGTACTACGGTGGCCCATAAGGGACAGCGCTACAAACTTAAATTAACACAAATTACAAAAATATACTACTGCAAACTAAATCAAATACACTACGAATAAAATTAAACCAGCACCGCCAATGAAAAATCGAATTCACTCCTACACAATAAAGTGAAACGCTACACACCGAATAAAAAGAATTAACCGCACACTGCAAATGAAAAGAATAACGTACACCCCAAATCAAGTGAAAAAACTCACTGCAAAAAAAAAGCTAAGGCACGCCGCAAATGAAAGGGAAGGGAAATAATCTATGCGTAAAATATACTACTGCAAACTAAATCAAATTCACGACGAATAAAATTAAACCAGCACCGCCAATGAAAAATCGAATTCACTCCTACACAATAAAGTGAAACGCTACACACCGAATAAAAAAAATTAACCGCACACTGCAAATGAAAAGAATAACGCACACCCCAAGTCAAGTGAAAAAACTCACTGCAAACAAAAAGCCAAGTTAGGCCGCAAATGAAAGGGAAATAATCTATGCGTGCGCATTTACGCGTGAAGGCCTGAGACCGAGTAGTAAGCTCAAGTTCGCGCGCTTTTATTGAAAACAAAAGAAAACAAAATGGCGTCCGTCGAAGACTTTATAAGCAGCTCAAGCGAAGACGAATCGGCTGAAACAACTTTAAACGACGACTTACCTCGAGGTTCTGAGCGAGATGTAATTGAATATTACTTTTATAGAGGTCTTACTTATAGGCATATTACGCTGAAGTTGGAAAAGCAACATAACATCATGAATCAGCGAACTCTCAAGCGAAGGCTGAAAGATTATGGACTTAAGAGACGTGAAACAGTAGATGAGGAGCTCAAGGAACGCGTCAGGGATCTTATTGTACAAGAAATATGCACTGGTCCTGATAGCCTCAGTGGCTACAGGACTATGTGGCATGTCTTGCGCCTAAGACACCGGATTAATGTTCCTCGGCGACTAGTAGAGTCACTGTTAAGGGAGGTTGATCCTAGGGGAGTGGAACACAGAAAGAGCCGTTGTCTTCAGCGCAGAACGTATGTGTCACCTGGACCCAACTTTTGCTGACACATGGACGGGTATGATAAACGAAAGCCTTATGGCTTTTCTATTCACGGCTGTGTAGACGGCTTTAGTCGAAGAATTCTTTGGCTTGAGGTGCAACGATCGAACAAAAATCCAAGGTGTGTTGCAAGCTATTTTGTAAAGCACGTCAAAGCAGCACATGGATGCCCAGTGCGTGTTTACACTGACCCTGGCACTGAAAACGGTCTGGTTGCCGGAATACAGTGCTATTTGAGAGCTGAGGGATTGGACGAATACGCAGGATCGAAGTCTCACAAATACGTATCAAGCACTAAGAATCAGCGTATTGAATGTCAATGGTCACATTACAGGAAACAACGTTCAAGTTGGTGGATGGACTTCTTTTATGACCTTCACGAGTCTGACATTCTTGATCTGACCAGTGACTTGGACAAAGAGGCAATTTGGTTTTGTTTCGCTGATTTGCTTCAGACTGATCTGGATAAGGTGAAGGAATATTGGAACAGTCACCGGATCAGGAAGTCAAAGCATGCCACTGTATCTGGTGTTCCCGACATGATGTACTTCCTGCCCGAGGATTTTGGACACAGCGACTGTTTGGTTCCAATATCACCACACAAGCTCACAGAAATGGAAAATAGGTTTGAAGGGTTCGATGGTGAGGATGATGAGTCCAACCCAGTTTTCCACGAGTATTTTCAATACGTCATGGACAATAATGGCTTATCCCACCCCACAAGCATTCGTGAAGCTGGAGTCCTTTTTGAGAAGCTTATCAAGTTTGCAAAAGGTGAACTCTAAATTACTTTCCTTTTGTGAACTGGGAAATCACTTCCACAAGGACTCCTGTGTAGAATGGCAGAAGGCATTAACAGTACTTAATGCACTTCTATTACCTGCAGCCCAACTTTAATATGATTTTCTCGCACATAAAAACAGTAAACGGTGAGGGCAGCCTCTTGGGTGGCATAATTGGGTATCCTTCCTCTTTCCAACTGTTATGAAACTCAAAGCAAATTGATGTGCATTTACTTGCACCAATGCATTAGTTGTTTGAGAGATACTGAGAATTTTGAAGCAAACCATCTCCAATGACCAATGCATGTCACCCAAAGAAACAGGCAGCTAAAAAGTAACTGAATTTTAATAAGATATTTGTTGACCCAATATCACTAGTTAACAGCAGTATATTCGACTGAAAATAGCTTTTACCAACATTTTTTTGTGAACTTTTGTCCTTCCAAACTGTTTCACTGCTTACAAGTTACAGAATTTCCACAATATTTTTTGGGGAGCACAATACAATGGTGGGACTTTGCAGCCATGCCAGTGTTATTGTTTTAAATTTGTACATGCTTGTTTCAAAACAATTAAAACTTCCGCAAAACCAAATAGGTGAACATGGACCTTTTACAGTGTGGAATTGATTAAAGGAGAAAAAATGCCATCATGCGGAGTCCTTACAACCATGTTTTTCTGTCTTGTCACGCTTAGTTCAACCTCGGGTGATGCCTTTCAACAACATTTCATTTCAACAATAACTGGTATTTTAAGGGTCAAGGTCATCTTTTAAGCTCTTCCAAAGGTCTTTTCATGTGTTATTGCAGTATCCATGTTAAATTTAAAATCACTGAAAGTGGTCATATGAGCAACAGGTAACTGTATCCAAAGAGCACAAGTAGAAATGGTGGGGAAGCAAATTTGGTGGTCATTGCTGCAATGAATAAACTTTACTGTTATGCCAAAACTGTTCTTCTCTGCAGGTAAAAATGGCCTTGTGGTTTTCCCAGTAAGAAACTGAAAAACATCTTTCACACTCCCAACGCTGCTGGTAGAATCACTCACTGTGTAATAAGATGAAATATACAAAAGCTATTAGTACCAATTTATACTAGACCTATCAGTTCTGGTTTAAATTGGCTGATACATGATACTCACAGCTGTCTTCTCTTTCTTCAACATATCGATTGAAATAAGCCATTACAGCTGTTTCCTGTAGTCTCTTTGTTGATCCTGACTCTGAGTATTCAGCTGTTAATGAGTTCATCAAAAGTGTAGATGTCACCTGCATACAAACCAAACCGTTTAGTCAGTCCATTAACTTTGGGGATTCAGTTGAGAAATCAATCAGCATGCACTGTTATATAGAAATTATCACAATTTTAACACAAAATTATACATCGTGACTCATTTTAACCAAATACTTGCACATCAGTAAACTGAAATGCTTGTCTGTTATGGCAAAATTCTCTCATCTTAGAGAGAAACAAACACAGCAGAAATAATGAAAGGAAGGGATCAAGGCGGGGATGTAGGAAAAGTTGAAAAAGATGATAAACAATAAGGCACATATTATCCAGAAAACTCTTGCATTATAATCCTCTCCTGGCACAAAGAGTTTCTCCATGAGTGATGGGTGTTCTTCCATCATGGCCAGGCACCCGTGCAGCTTAAGTCCCTCCCTCATCTGGTCTAGTTCAGCTTTCATCCTCATAATTGTGTTTTGAAGTGTTATAACCCTGAAAACAGAAAAAAATGTCATCCCTACATATAGTTATTTCTTACAGCTAGATAATCACTAAGTACTGCTAGATAATCAGTACTTACCTTCACATGTCATATTATTGACTTAAAGTATGTAATCATAACAACCTATCCATTGCTGTCCAGGATTCCCCTCAATGGCTGCATGTTGTTTTTGATCCCATAAGTTAACACACAGACAAAATGTTCTGTATTTTGATTAATCCATGCAAAAATTGGAGTTATTTTATTGAAAGTTTGGGAGAATCATAAAATTTAGCCACAGTAAATAATAGCTGACAAAGGACACAAAAGGAAACAGCTCTAAAAAAGACCACGGTAAAACATATCTTGGGATACTGTACTGGTCTGTACATTGTACCTTACAATAGTGTCTTTTTTCTCCAAGGAAATTGTGGATGTAAAGCCAGTATTCATTAAAACATCCATGTCTGCATTATTTTGGAAAATGGCTTGCAGTTCTTCTTTACTGTTCACTTCTTTTACCTGGTGACATATCATTTTCAGAATTGGTTGAATCTTTAAGGGGGTTCAAAACAGTTTTCAGTACTTTCTAGCTCTTACACTTTGATGGGTCAGTGCTACAAACATTTATCAGTTACCACAACAAAAATGGTATCAAACAAATGCCCAATCATTGATAAACAAATTGTGGTTATTTTCTTGACGTCACCAGTTTAAACTGCTCCGGAGAAATTTTTTTAATTTTGCAAAAAGTTGTACCTTAACATGCTGATCGTTATTCAATAGTACAAATGGGGGTCACCGGACTCGTTTTTAAGTTATAAACACTTAAAGCTAAAATTAAGGGTGTTTTTAATGGGTTATACCGTTGCCATGGTTACTGTTGATGTCTAGAAAATAACCACTATATGTTTATCAATGATTGGGGTTTTATTTGATACCATTTTTGTACCAGTGACTAGTTAATGTTTATTATTATAGCACTAACCCATCAACGTATGAGAGCCAGAATGTGCTGAAAAATGTTGTGAGCCTCCTTAAAAGTCTTAAGTTTGTCAAGTTCTTATAAATGTATCTATTGCATACTTTGAGTATCTTATTCTGCTCTTTCTTAACATGAAAATGGCTGCAAATGTCATCCGTTAGTGTGAGTTCGGGAAAAAGGTTAAGTACTGCCATCAACTTTTACATGCAGCAGATCTTTAGCATGAATTTTGAAAGTCTTGCTTGGAGTTTCTTTTGTAAAATCATAAGGCTATATAAAGGCATATAACAATAATTGTTGCTATCCTTATTCATATGAACAATTCAAATCAATTCTGCCCACACAAATGTGCAACTTTTTTGTTCAGCTATTACAAGAAATATTATTACCCTTTTCACTAAAGTCCTGATGTCTGGATTAACAATGTCATCATCTATTAGTGGTATGGCTGTGACATCAGGAGTACACAGATAGCGGTATACCCAGTTGGCTAAAAAGGCAGGTGGTGGACCCTCCTGGAGAACTGACATTACCATAACTTGCCCAACAACTTTGAAGGAGCCATTCTCTACAGCCTCAACATGGGGTCCAGGTGACAGACCACTAAGTTCAGTGCCCTCGAATAAGTTGGTCTGAATTGCAGTTATAAATGCTACAGGAAACAAATTATGTTAAAAAAGATCTGAAGGGAATAGATTTCAAATCATGGTAGTTGTATCCTTAAAAAGTGAACATATTTACAGTACACATAGATGTGCATGCCTGATATTAATTTTTATGGGGAAAGTAATATAATTTTTTCTGTCCCATTTGTATCTTTACAATAACTGAGTCGCAGCCATTCATAAGGAGTTTTCCAGGATGACACACTGATCAGAAAACAACCTTCACTGGCCTGTCACTGTCAATGCCAATACCAGTAATGATAAATTTGCACATATGATTACAATAACGCTGTTCATGCAAAACTACTTTCAGCCAGTCACTTCCAATTCAATCTGGAGCAGTACATTATTATTAGTAGATCATTAGTGTTGAAAAAGGTAGAAAGGACTTTCAGGTAGCCTATTTGATAAAAGTGTCTATACAGTTTATCAAAAGATTGTAGGGGGGTGGCACCCTCCCTAAAGTTTTGGATACCCACATTTCAGATCCTGGCCTAGAGCCTGATATCTTACCAGATAAAAATTCCTTTCGAAGCCCACCAGTGTCTATCCCTGACTCTCCAAAGAACTGCACTCTCAAGAGGCCCAACAAACTTTTTTTCCGTCGTAGCTGCCTGATGCCATCCAGCGAAAGATCCTGCCTGTTTACTCTAATTTCAATTTGCTCATGCTGTTTTACTTTCATGTATAGCATGCTTAAGATATCATCAAGGCTGAGGAAAAAAAATTGCTCAAAAAATTATTCTGATATAAAATTTGCTTAATTTACTCAGATCAGTATCACTTACAAGGTAATTAAGGTGATTAAAAATAATTGATATCTTCATAAGGAGGTTGGTTGGCACTAAAGTTTGATAATGGAAAAAAAAAAGAACATAATAAAAATAAACCAGAAGAAGTAAGGGAATGTCTTAATTCATAAAAAATATATATACTTTAAGAAAACCTAGATGCAATGAATTTTGAGAAGTAATTTGCAATGGATGTCTTTCCTCTGCTTCCCAGAGCAAGAGGCCAAGAATACTAGCAAATGGCACAAAAGCATTACTGATCGAAAGTTTCAACTGATGAACAGAGTTGGGAACTTAGTCAAAAGCCAGGTGGATTCAATAGATTCTGTTTTAGCTGCTACAAAGAATCACAGCTGCAATACATCCATTGTTGCTATTTTTCCTAAAGCCACCTATTGAATGGCAAAAAAGATAGGAAGAGTATTTTTAACAGTTTCAAATTGAGCAGGTGTGTAATAACTATTGCATTAGTTCAGGAGGAAATTGCAATTTGGCATGTCACAAACAAACAAATTTGAATGAAATAAATGTACAGTTATTGTTTATAAATGGAATAATGCATAGTTCCATAAACTATCCATACCTCCCCCCACAGAAGGGATTTTCCTAACTCCCCCCCCCTCTTGAAATTTGAATAAAGCTTCATACATTTGCTTAAAGTTTTTGGCCTTTGAGACCCCTCCCACCCCCAATCCCAATTTCCAATCCCTTCTATGGGGGAGTATGGACATTTTCTGGAACCATGCAAACGAATGCCCAAGCTTCAATATGGTTTGTTCTCACAGGTGAGGTGGTATCTCAACTGCCCTCCCTTTCTCCCAGTTTGGATTACATACCTACAAATGCCATCACTTGGTTCACTGCTTGAAAAAGCTGCTAAAAGTTTTTCAGCAGCTTCATTCCTTGAGCTGGTATTTTCAAGGGCTTGGGCAATTTCCTCCTCAGAGTTACTTGGGAAGGTTTCTTTTAAAGCTTCTATAGCACTTGCATCTATAGTCAAATGTAATCAGCATAATCATTTACGTAGCATTGTCACATCGAATCCAGACTGCATGCTTGATCACTTCAGTAAGGAATTGACCATTATTTTTTAAGAGGGTGGGGGGTGGGGGAGAGGGAGGAAAGGGTATCCTAAAAAATTAGTTATTGCAAAAGCAAAAAAAGCACAAATAAATTGTTTGAAAAACTTTTCATTCAACCCCCAACCCCCCCTAAACCCCTTCCAAAAAATTATGGTCTGTACCTGAGTTGTGAGACTCTTTGTCACAACACATTATAAGCATTATAGTAAGGAGTTCAAAAGGGTTACCACGTTTAATTAATTCACCTTCTCTTATAAAGTTAATTGATTGATCGATTGATTGATTGAGCAATCAATGTAGTGATATTTTGGATGGTATTAGTGGATAACCCGGGCTGGTGTACCAGGGTCTGTGGAAGGGTTATTAAGCGAGTTTCAGTGGGTGGACATTCACCAAAAAAAAAAAGAAATTGGAAGCCGCTCTTTTGGTTGTGAAGCGAAAGGCCAGCAGATATTCGTTTGTTAAAAAGGGGGACCCCATGTTTTCAACACCCTGGGATCCCGCATTTTTCATAGAACCCAGGACCCCCTACCCCACGTTATCCACTATTTAAACAACCCTCCAAGTTGCAACAATTTCTAGTCACCATGGTTTCCAGAGCTTTAGAACTAGTGATTGCAATATTGTAGAAGGTCGCCATCCCTGCCACTACAAGAAGACTGCTCTGGAGCTTGAAAAAACTGTCTTATGAATCTAAAACTTTCCTGTATGTTATGGATTCACTTTGAAAAATTCCATTTAAAATAAAGTTTATTTATGTATGTATGTAGTTGTGCTAATATTAAAAGCTACTGGGGACCAGTATCACGACATTACTGGGTTTTGTAAACTGATCTTTTTTCTTTTCATTTCTTTTGTTGAGTTTTTTACTTGGGAACAGTTTCACGGTAAAATATCGTTTCATTCACACTTTCTGGCGGATACATTTACAGATAAGAATATTTTGGCATTTTTTTGGCGAGTTTATCGAAATCAGTAGTCGCCAAATTAACTTGGAGGGCTGACTAATCCTTTTGGATATGCCTAACTGACCTAGGCATGTTAAATATATCCGAGTTCCTTCAGCTAGTCTCATATCAAAGATTAAAAAATAAGTGTTGCCTACCAGTTCTTTGATCTGAGGTACCAGGCTCACTGGCATCCCAAGGGCACCTATCCATTTCCCTGATTTCCTTATCGTCATTACCATCATCTGAGCTCCCAGTTACGTCTCTTTTCGCCTCCCTTTTCGGACAAGCACCAGAGAAAAATTCGCACAAATGCGATTCTTTGGCAGGCTTGGCAGCGGCTTCGCTGTCGCTTTCATCCGACATGTCTGTAAAGTCGTCGACAGGAATTAGGTAGAATGTCAAACGCTTAAACTCTTTGCCGATTGCTTGCTTGTATGTGGAAAGTTGAAACTTCTCATTTGTCCCGGGAACATTAATCACTTCTCGGAAGTCGGGATATAACAAAGAGTACTGAAGCGTGTTGTCAAACGACTGATCGAAACTTGCATGTTTGGCTTTTGCTTTCTGCATTATGTCCTCTTTGTTGGCTAGGGAGTTGACGGTGATAATCTGAGTATTGCCACGACGAAGTTTAATTACCCCGTCTGTTTGCGCTGCTAAACCAACTTTAATTTCAACATTCGCCGATTTCTGTGTCGATTTCTGTGTCGATTCCTGGCCCTTGGAATGGCTCCCTCGCATTTTCTTCCGGGGGGGCTTAAAACCATTCTGTCAATTCTGACGATCCTCTTCTCGCTTTTCATAAAATTCTTCGAATGATAGAGTACGTTCAGAGGGCCGCAGGTTCACTAAACTTGTAGATGGACTTATGCCTTCACTGACCTCGCGCTCTGTTCGAGAGGAACCAAGCATTCGGGACACCTCCTCGCGGACTGCTGCACGAATTTCGTCTGGAACATAATTAGACGCCATCTTGAATGTAACCCCAAGGAAAAAGCGCGCGATCTTGAGCATACCACTCGATCTCAGTCCTTCACGCGTAAATGCGCACGCATAGATTATTTCCCTTTCATTTGCGGCCTAACTTGGCTTTTTGTTTGCAGTGAGTTTTTTCACTTGATTTGGGGTGTGCGTTATTCTTTTCATTTGCAGTGTGCGGTTGACTTTTTTTATTCGGTGTGTAGCGTTTCACTTTATTGTGTAGGAGTGAATTCGATTTTTCATTGGCGGTGCTGGTTTAATTTTATTCGTCGTGAATTTGATTTAGTTTGCAGTAGTATATTTTACGCATAGATTATTTCCCTTTCATTTGCGGCGTGCCTTAGCTTTTTGTTTGCAGTGAGTTTTTTCACTTGATTTGGGGTGTGCGTTATTCTTTTCATTTGCAGTGTGCGGTTAATTTTTTTTATTCGGTGTGTAGCGTTTCACTTTATTGTGTAGGAGTGAATTCGATTTTTCATTGGCGGTGCTGGTTTAATTTTATTCGTAGTGTATTTGATTTAGTTTGCAGTAGTATATTTTTGTAATTTGTGTTAATTTAAGTTTGTAGCGCTGTCCCTTATGGGCCACCGTAGTGAGCAGTGAGCTCGTCGCGACAAAGCGTTGCGTGACGACCCAAATGAGACCTTCGCTGTATTTTATTATTGACTTCTAATAGAGTACCGTTGAAGGCAAGCTGTTTATCCAACAGACCTTTTGCCAAATCCACTTTTGCCCGAAAATAATAACGATCTGTTCCTTCTTTGTGGAGGAGACTTTCGATCACGTGCTAGGCAACGAAATAGATCATGTTTCACCGATGTTCATTTCTGAACATGAATCGATGCAAATATGGGACGCAAAATGAATGTTTGCATATTTTGTTCTTTTATAACCCAAATAGGTTTTTTTGTAATTCCTGAAATTTGTTTAACTGCAAGTGTAATTCATTCAAAGTTAAACTTAATTACAAACATCGAGAGATCGACTTTGTGGTGACTTTTAAGGACCAGAGGCCGAACAAACGATAAACTTTGTTGTAAGTTAGTTTTGTAGGAGATCCGTTTTGAAATTCGAATATCTTCACATAGTTTAATGTTAAATCAATAGTAACTTTGAAGTTATGCTGTAAATGTTGCATTTGAGATGAACCTTTAGACAGGACGTTTACATAGTGAAAGTTAATTACAGTACCAGACATCAACTTTGTCTAACTTTGTCTGTAGGTAGATTCGTTTTGAAATTCGAAAATGTTCACATAGTTTTATTTCAATGAATAATTCAAATTTAAAGTTATGTTCTAAATGTTTTCTTGAGATGACATAAACTTATTAATCTCTGTTCTCGTGCCTCGCGCGTTTCGCTGGAAGGACTAATAAAAAAGAGAGACCGCTCATAGTCTATCAAGCGTGCTCTACCTGCGTAAGAAATACATAAGCGTTGTAAAGGATTACAAATAGGTCAAAGATTATAAAAAAATGTGTCTTAAGATGAGAACAGTTAATTTTAAACGGTACACGGTCGATTATCTCTAAATATGGCAAATTAAGACCATGAAAAGGAAAATAGGAAATTCCTGGGGGCGGGGGGGTTATGCATGACCCCTCTGTAACGGAAATTCCGAGGGGGTGGAGGGGTCTAATCGAAAGAACCATCCGTGGGAGGGGTATGGATATTTTCTGGAACCACACATTGTCAGTCAAGGAAATGGAACAGTAGTGTTACCTTCACTGGCTTATTTGCCTATTCTTGCTAATGATGATGCATTTGGTATTATGGGGTTTAATGAGGTAAGGCAACTTTTAAAACTGTAAGGTGTACGACTCTCTATCCCACCCCTTCTCCCCAATAAGCACAGGAAATTATTGGTACAGTCCCAAGTAATGATATGGACACTAAATAAAGTCGTATTGTGAAAAAAATACCTTTGGGATTCACTTTTTTATCATTTTAATGACAAAATGGTCTGTCATTGATGAAATTCGTGCAAAAGTGCCTCAGAATCTCATCATCAATAGATGAGCTTGGGTGCTGGTGCCTACAGTGCAAGGTTGGTGGAGCGGGCAATGCTTTAGCATAAGGGAGGAGATAGTATCCACGGTAACCCTGCGAGCAACCCCCCAACAGGAACCCTCAGGCTGAGCCACTCACTGACCAATACTAACGGCCTAGCCCTGACTTAAAGAGAGAGGAAGGGTATGGGAGAAAAAAAGGTAAATGCACACACAAACCAAAGACCCAAATGGCCAGAGCTTATCCTGGTTTCCTTTGCATGAAGCTTGCCTAAGAGTATTGCTACTCCCCCCCCCCCCTCCCGGATGGGATGCTAGTCCATCGCTGGGTTACCCCCTAGCAGTACTGTACATAAATGCCACTGGTACCCATTTATACACCTGGGTAAAGAGAGACAAAAGCTCGGCGACAGGCGAGGCTTCAAGCCAGACCTACAGATCCAAGTTTGAGGTGTTAATGACTTAGCTGCTCGGCCACACATGCCTCCACGCGGGTATGGGGAAAACGCAGCACTAATTGAACTGGCAAGCATGCACAAAGCTATCGCAAAGACACTTTGTGAATAAAAGCAAGCAACCAACTGTGTTTACAAGTCACAAAGTGCCCTGCTAAGGGCATACATGCAGGGGCCACCTCAAGTGGTAGCTGGGAAAACTGCTGACCAGTGTTAGTTCCTAAATTCCATTAACCACATAAAGATTTGAATTCTAAAAAAAGCTGAGCTAAATTCCAAGCTAAAGCACAACGAAGTGCAAAAGTTGATTTTACATGTACATGTATAACTTAGCTTCTCAGGAACCTCCCCCATGCTCATCTATTGTTGATGAGTATAATTTACTATAACAATTCAAGCAGTGATATATACTTGTGCTATTGTACAGTCTTATACATCATGTTTACATTTCGCATGTAGTTTGCGGAGCGCGCGCAGCGGAGCACCACGGGTAAGAAAATATGGTAACTATGCTTCCAAGAAATTTTGGTTCTGAGAAAATCGTCCGTACAGAGTACGTCAGTATGTACGTCCACCCCTTCATGTTAGTGGATACGAAATGGCACACTTTAATACTATCTGTGTAAATTTGGTATTGGACATCCATGTTGTGATCAATTGACAGCTGTCAAAAAAGGGTATTTACTGACCAGTTTCACATGAATGCATCGTGGGCTCATGTATACAAGTCAACTCATGGAAGTGATGTAATAATTTTCAAAGTTACCCGCTGACCAGTTGTTCATTTTTAAATGATTGTTGGCGCAGGTCAATTTTTTTAAGGGCAGAATTCAGTTTGCTCTCTGCTTACGGCCAAAGTATAATTAATTGAGGAAGACATTTCCTAAAGCATATTTCGATAGTTTCGCTTTTGGCCTTGGCTAAATCTTTATATTAAATATTTGATGTACATCTGTGCATGGGACAATGTTTTCAATTCTATTTCAACAGACAGGACCCCTTGTGGTAGCTGAACCCACAGGTCAGGGTGGACTAACAGTCATCAGGCTAAGCCGAAAAGCTGGTGATCTCAGAACAGTGCAAGTGTCTTGGAAGGTACATGTAGGAAAATTATTTTTTTTACTGCAATTTTTAAGCAGACACTGACACCCTCAGATGCAATCACCAACACTGCACAGTGTGTACTTGAGCATAGTTTTTTTTTTTTTTTTTTAAATTTTTATTGTTTTAACAAACATAATGCTGACTTACTTACATAGTACTTACTTACATAAAGCTTTAATACCTACTTACATATAACTTGCTAAGTTAAATACTACTTACTTACATAATATAAACTTGAGCATAGTTAGTAGAAGAAGAGAGACTGCTTGGTTTTGAATGGCAGCAAACATCAAAGATAAAAACAACAGTGCTGCAGTTTATGTTGGGAGCTCCTTGACTGTGCACAGTCCTTTTTCCTCTTCACCAATTGTGACAAAGTAAATTTATTCAGTGGTTTTATTGGTCAGAAAAATCTTGAAAAAAATAATAGGAATGTAAAATGACCCTTTAGAACCAAAGCTAGTGAAGGAAAGTCGATATGAATGATTGTACATTTCTTTCATGAAATTAAAGTCTCCTGCATTTTATTAAAAGTTTTTCTGGAGCATGGTCATTTTTGCGAGAATTTGTGAAATCTTTGGAATGTCAAATTTATTTTCTCCAGACACGATTGGGCTCCTCTGTACTATTACATGTGACTATATGTACCATGACTTGAAAAAAGTCAAGGCATGTGTAATGTAGTCTGAAATGCCAGCCATTTCTTTGCCTTACCCCCTCAAAGAGGTAGCCATGTGCCCTTTTGGGAGATTATGTAGTTGCAATAAATAAACATATTAGAAGAAATGAAAAAGATAAATATACATTATTTCTTAAATACAAATCAGTGGACACCACTGGATGACATTCTTTGAGACAGAGTGGAAATTTGCAGTTGCAGAGATGGACTTGCATTGATAATCACTGCTCTTCGCTAATTAAAAATATAGTCTATTAATACAATGTATACACCTACAGCTGTGTAACAGGGCTGGAAATAATTTCCTGACTGATTCCAGCCAAGTTGTCTGGTCAAACCTATCAATAATTTTTTCTCAGGCATATAGTAACCAATAACACACGTAATTTTTGGCAGACAAATAGTATTTTATTTCACGACATATCGCTATAAAAGCTACCCCCCACCCCCTTCTAAAAATATCATATAAGTGTAGTTACCAAGTTCTTATTGTTCATGAAACCCTGCATTAAATTCAGGAATTGTGGAACTCCTCCCCCCCAGGGACAGCTGCAGCATTTGACTAAATCACAACAGCACTAATAACTATAGTGAACAGTCCAATGACAACTTCTCTAAGGGAGTAATTAGTTCACGCAACAGGTCATTGCACATTGTTGTTACAGTTAAACCCCATGAATACAGACTCTAAGGAGGGCATAGAAAGTGTTTGTATAATGGGGTCCGGGTGTCTGTATTAAGTGGGTTGACTTTAGAGAAAAATGTATGGGCTAATCTTTTCCCCAGGAACAAAGCAAACTGTCCGTAATGATGAGTTGTCCATATTAAGCGGCTGTCCTTAATCCTGGGTTTGACTGTGTTTTTAAAACAATAGCTTACTGTGAAGGTGTAGTAGTTAACCCAATAACCCCCAATATCCACATACAAATTCTCCAAACTGATCTCCATACATTTCCTTAAAGAATTAGTTAAGAGAATTTGATAAAAGATCAAAGATTTTTCTCTTTGTGATCATTTTATTAATTCTCATAGACTTTGCTCTTGACATTGTATGGATATCGTCAGGAGAAAATTGGCAGAGAATGAAGAAAGCTTCACTTTGACTCTAGAGTCACCACAGGGTGGAGCTGAATTGGATCAAAATGCCGCATCTATTATCATCAGAATTCCTGCAAATGATGTTCCCTTAGAATTCCCACTTGTTCAATTTTACATCCCAGAGAATCAGTCCAGAGTTGAAATTGAGGTCTTCCGAGGGATTGAAGCAGATGGTATTACAACTGTTGGGCCTGTGAATGAGGTCACAACTGTGGAGTGGTATCTCGCATCAGGGTCTGCTACTGTGGGGAATGATTTTGTTGATGGAAGAGGTACGCTTACTTTTCAATCTGGTGAAACAAAGAAGAATATCACTGTGAGACTAATCAATGACAACAATCCAGAACCAACAGAAAACTTTACAGTCCATCTAGCAAATGCAAGTCTTAATTCATACATCAAACCTCCAGGAATAGCAACAGTGGTTCTATTACCAAATGACGACCATAATGGAGTACTTGCATTCGGCCAGCATACTCGCATTTTGGATGAAGATGGAGTTAGATCTGGCACATTTCATGTGAATCGCAGTGCCGGAACGTTTGGAGGCGTCACTGTATCCTGGAAAATTCAAGGTGTAGATGCAAGCTCCATTTTTGAAACAACATCAGGAATGTTAAATTTTGCTCCGGGACGGAGTAGTGTATCATTTCAAATTGTAGTTCGTGAAGATTCTGCTCCTGAGGAAGCAAAAGAATTCTACGTTCAGCTGTATAATGTCACAGGTGGTGCACGACTTGAAAATACCTTGGCAGCTCAAAGAACTCGATTTTGTGGCTGACAGTGATGATGTTTATGGTGTCTTTGAATTTGCTAGTGATCATTATCAAAGCATTAATATGGTGAGTAAATACAGTGTATCTCTTACAGCTGCTTCAGTCAACTTTGAGGTCCATATATGTAACGTCATTTAGAGACCTCGTTTTTCTCTGTAGTTAGATATATGTATGACAAAAACCTGAAATGAATCTGTGCATAAAAATCAAGGGGAAAAAGCAAGTATGCATAATTTACGGTACGCCACCACAGTACAGATCAAGAAGGCAAAAGTGAAAAGATTCTTATGCGACTTTCTGTGGATCACGAAACTAATATTTGAAAGTATTGTACATGCCTGAAAACCTTTTTTTGTTAAGAAAACGACTATATTATATCATTTATAAAATTTAGAATTTTGATTATTGCATAAAATAATTTCTAGTCATTACTGGTGCCTTAGCAAAATTGATAATTTGGTACCTTGACATTTTACTTAGTGATGAGAGGATAAGTGAACTTCCCTTCTTCCCTGTTATGTTACAGGACAGCATACCTCGCCAGCTTCATCTCAACATCACAAGAACTGGTGGTATGGTGGGGAGTGTTCGTATTAACATTACTGTAACATATCATCTGCCTGGAAGTAGCATCCCATCTAATGAAGTAGCATTGGATTATAGTGGTGATGTTACAATAGCTGCGGGCTCTAGAAGCACTTTTGTGGTCTTGCGCATTGCTGATAATGGATTCCTCAAGCTTGGAGCTGCTTTCAAAGCGGAACTGATAGCTGTCAGATTACAGAGTGGAGGTATCGTACTTTGTATATTTTACGGTCCTGAAATCTTTATCCTTTTCCCATAAGCCTAAATTTACATGAACAGAATCGGATCTTGTTGTGGTACAGATGCAATTTTATCCAGTCATGTGTTGCTCAGTTATATAGTGTAGGTAGTTACAGGACTGTTACAGTCGCATCTATTAGCCGCGACCAGAAACCTCAGACGAGTTTCATTCTATGGTAAACATTCACTGTACACACGTCAGTTGACATCTTAGTCTCATGCAGTCCATACAGATAACTGTGTAACAGACGCTTAAATACTAATACATATAACACACTGTAGGCAATGTACAATTCGAGAAGATGGCAGCTTTATTTACAGCGGCAAAAATAAGCGTCCTATTGGCTCTTCCCAAGAAAATAGACCTTTTTATAAACTACATTCATCCGACTAGCCTCCCACGCATTGGTTCGTCACGCAATTCTCCCCGATCCCTGTGTGTGGAAGGCACGCGTAACGAAGCCCTCAGAACGTCTGCGTGGGAGGCTTCTATCAGACAAGTTCATCGCATTCACACGAGTCCCTACTATTTTCTCTTGCATGTATCATCCGTTGAAACTCTTTTTTTTTTTTCAAATCTGGCGACCAATAGCGTACCATTAACAAGCGAGGTCCCACCCTCCTCACCCAAGATCGGAAACAAGTCTGAGGTTTTCCTCAACGTAACTGCCAAAGATGCCAATGGAGAGGTTGGATTTTCTACAGCTCATCAGATGTTTTCTGTGCAAGAGCCTGCAGGCTCAGCCTCATCATTTCTTCAGTTGGCAGTTAAGCGCAGTGGAACCGCTAACAGGGTTGTTGTTCACTGGAATATCACCAGTAACAGCAACACATTTTTTCCTAATGATACTGGTCCGCAGAGCGGAAAAGTTTCGTTTGAAGAAGGTACGACTTAGAACATGACTTCATCAAATGAATAACTTAATTGTAGTTACATGTTTTATGGAAGGGCCTGCATTTGTTGTAGATGTAGACAGTTGCTTTAGACGTTGGCTTAGTTCTTGTTATTACATTGTGGCTCCGGCCTTGGGACCTTTGGGAGAGCTTTCAGAGGAGTTCTACCATCGTGGAATTTCGTAGCGAATTCATAGTTAGAGATCAAAACCTGTACATGCAAATAGCTGTCTTATATTGCTGCTACTGAAGAGACGAATAACTTGGCAAAGGGGTGTGATGGGGGCTTCGATGATCATTGGTAGTTTGAAAGAATTCTATTACTCTGATCGAACTTGATGCGTAGTAATTGTTTTTCTGTAAACATGCTGGGAGAGTTTTTTCATTTCAGGTGTGTTTGCAGGGCATTTTTTCTTAATTATTTAACCCCTCCTTTAAAAGGCAAACTGATGCCAAGACACCTAAAGTTAAGTGAGGATTTGAAGATTTCTTTTTAGCAGCTTTGAGTCTATTAGCTTAAATTTAATTTTATTATGAGTATATAAACTCATCGGAGGTTTCGCTTTTAGCCTTGGCTAAATCTCCATGTTAACGCCCCATAACGCTGTTGTTTATTTTTTAGCACAGACGCCTTCATACATGTACATGAACAATATGCTGACCATTTTTCCTTTTAGAAAATCCCAATGCTACGTAATTATCTGGTCCTTAAGCTTCCTGCACTGTCAACACCTACATTGCTGAAACACTGCACAAAAAGGTGACGAATAATTACGCCCTTTTAACTCTCTTGTGGATTAACTTCTCTTTAAAGGTCAAGATGAAGTCAACATAACCATTGAAATAAAGCCAGATGAAAGCCCCGAAGTGGCCAAGGTCTTTACAGTTAAACTTGTAAATGTGTCTGATATGGGTAGGATTCAAGTTGGTGCTGTACATATTTACATTTAGCCATGGCAAGGAAATGGGTGCCCGTCTTAAGAGGCGAACTCAATCCAGCAGCTCATTCTTGCATTAGCATAACGGTAATCAATGTTTTACAGATTTATCTTCAGCTTAATACGTAGTGTGCATGTACTTGTTAGACTTTCAGATACATTCAATTTATTCAGCCTGAGAACTAGCTCATAAAGTATGGAGGTCATGTACTGTAAGTCCTGGAAAGTTTAGGAATTCTACCCTGCAGAACAGGAGTTATTTTTTCGCGTTTTACAGCTGAGAGAAGGCAAGCGCGAAGCGGGCGAGGGCGCGAAATGCGCAACTACGGGGCAAAGAAGTAGCGTCTACTCTGCAGGCTAAGGATTTCAGTTTTCTTCTCATGGAGGTCGACATACATGTAATAGTATCGTTAGCTTTTTCCTTGGGTGTCCCTTGACATGATTTATGGTTCCACACTCATATTAACAGGACAAGGCTCAGGTGACAATCGAAGAAAGTGATAATCCTGGAGGAACATTCGAATTCAAGAATTCCACAGCTGTTGTTTTACAGGTATTTCGCTTCTCTTCTTCGCTTCTTTGGAATGCTATCCAGTAATTTTAAAAATCCTCAGAAATAAGTTACCAGCAAATATAGCAATAACTAACTCCTCCTCATTAGACTTGGTTGGTAATAAAGAGGCTGTGATCTCAGTGAATACAGTTCCCTCCCTCTCAGCCCTTCAGTGTCCTCTTTATCACTGTAAAACCTTGCAGAAAGAGGGTTGCCTAGTCCCTGAACGGCGTTTTCCCAGTCCCTCTCGGTCAATTCGCTTCTGTGACTTTTCCTTTAGACCACGCGACCCGAAACGCTTTGGCTGCGCGGAATAATGAGGCCCAGGGCCTAGGCAAGAAAGAAGTACAGATCTCCGCCCAAAACTGAATTTAATGTCATGGTTTTCGTAGCTACCGGCCTGCCTTTTTACATTCCCAGTAGTTGAGCACAGTGAGCAGTGTACGTTACCGCTTAAAACTAAGATTTTTTGTACAATGTTGACCCAGTCCTATTTCTAGAGTCACTAAAGCAGCACGTTTCGAACAAATTACCCGCAAAGAAGTTCGACTTTTTAGCGATCTGCAGGCTCAAGACTCTTATCTGTCAACAAATATTGCCTCTCTAAACAACCTTATATTTACTTATGCTGTAAAAATAATAACGTCAGTCTCTAAAGTACAGTTAAGGGCGCGCCTCATTTTGATATAAGCTATAGCGTCATCAAGTAAACACATAGCTATTTTTTTCTTCATTTCTTTCCAAAGGAAAGCAGTAGCAACAACTTCATAAATATTGGGATTGTGCGGAAGGTCAGTGCCCTGGACTCTCGCTGGGTGTCGTTTGTAATGGTTCCTTCAGGTGAGATGAAGTGA